GCGAAAACACCTTCCAGTGTGTGACACCGAATTCACTTCTCCGACATGATCTACGTCTTCCATGGCAAGAGGAACCAAGAAGAAGAGCAAAGCAGCTGTCAACAAACATCATGAGCAACCAGAAGAGAAAAGGAAAGTGCAGATGAGTGATTGCGTGCACAACTCAGCTAAGGATCAGTAAGCTCAGCTCAACCTAGATCTGGACTGAATTTGAATAAATCCTTGGAGAAAGTAGGGAATTATCGGGTAATTGAGGTGGGGGAAAGCTCACGGAGCTCGGAAGGTGCTAGATCGGGGATAAACTGGATGAAAATTTTGGTGAAGGGTGTATGGCAGGGTTTTGATCCAAAGCAACTGATTGTGGATAAGAAGCTTTCATTTATTGAACCATCTGTAGTCCATAATCGAGTGATTAGCAGAGTAACAAAGGCCGAAATTCAGACGGAAGTGGAATATTGGAAAACATCGGTGGCATGTTATGTGTTGGGAGCTAATCCTCCTTTTCCTGTTGTGAATGGATTTATCAGAAGAAATTGGGGACATTCTGGAAATGATAAAGTGGTTTTGTTAGAAAAAGGTATCCATGTGATCAGATTCAAAATGATGGAAGCTAAGGAGAACATCTTGAAGCATAGTATTTACCATTTTGATAACAAGCCATTTATAGTGAAGGAATGGTCAATGGAGAAAGATTTGACTATGGAAGACATTAAATCTGTTTCGGTGTGGGTACAGTTACCAAAATTGAAACTCATGTACTGGAATGCCACTTCCTTGAGTAGAATGATGAGTGCTATTGGTATCCCACTGGAAATGGATGACATCACCTCAAAAAAGCTGAGAACAACTTTTGCTAGAGTCTTAGTTGAGCTCAAGATAACTGATCAGGTCCCGGATTCTATTTGGTTTGAAGATGAAAATGGCCAATTGCAGGAACAACCAATAGTATTTGAATGGAAGCCAATCCAGTACGTGAATTGTAAAGGATTTGGTCATATGGCTAAAATCTGTAACCATCCAATTCCACAGGCTTGGAAGCCAAAAACAGATGGAAGCCAGTCTATTCAAGTAGTGAAAGCTAATCCTGGAAAAATGCAAGATAGAGAAGGAGATTACTAAGAAAGTAGAGAAGCAGGTTAACTTGAGTAAAGGAAAAATGCACAGGGAGAGAAGCCCAAGTGGGAAGAGCAGCTCCAGTGAATCTGAAACTGAGATTAAGGATGATGAAGTGATGATCCAAAATCAGAAGGGAATGAAGGTGGTGAGTGGAAGGCAGAGTGAAAAAGTGAGCTCCATAAATGTGATATATTCTGTTGATACTAGTAACCCTTTTATAGGGTCTAGTAACTATGAATAACATCATGAGCTGGAATATAAGGGGACTTAATAGTCCCCTGAAACATAGAGAGGTCACTTCATACCTCCCTATGAATAAAGTTGGGTTTGCTGGCATATTAGAAACAAAACTAACAGGTGATAAAGCTAAAGAAGTAGTGATAAAGAATTGGCATCAATATGAATACTATAGTAATCAGGAAGGGAGTAGCAAAGAAGCATATTAGTATTATGGCTGAAAGAGGAATATGAAATCAAAATACAGATTGTTCATAAGCAATATATTCATTGCTGGGTGAAAAATCTCACTACCAAGTGTTGGTTCTATGTTACAGTGGCGTATGCAGACTATTTGGCTTAGGAGAGGATTACTTTGGGGGAGGAGTTAACACAGATTGAGATCACATCACTGGAGCATGGCTGATGCTAGGAGATTTTAATTGTGTGATTCATTAGGAGGAAGGAATAAAGCTAGTGCTGATACAAATAAATTTAAAGTATGGATGGAAAATGGTGAAGTTTGGGATATACCAACCTATGGAGGGAAATATACATGGTGGAATAGACGAATTGGTGATCAAAGTATTATGTCCAAACTAGATAGAACCTTGGGGAATGGTGAATGGTTCAACCAGTTTAGTACAGCTTACACTACAGTAATTGCAGTAGGGATTTCAGATCACAATGCTTTGATTATCAGATGGGGAGATGATCTAGTAGTTGGCAAGAAAGCATTTAGATTTTTTAACATGTGGACCCAAAGCATTGAGTTTCAAGATATAGTTAAAGAAGTTTGGCAGAAGAAAATCACATCCAAATAGTTTAGTGTTGTTAATAAGCAGAAGATGCTTAAACAACCACTAAGAGATTTAAACAGAAGGAAGTTTGAGAATGTGGAGGTCAAATATCAGGAATGTCATAGCAAGTTGATCATGATTTAGGACCAGCTTAGCCATGATCCTGAGAATGAATTTATACAAATGGAAGAAAAGAAAACTAGAGTTGAGTATATGGAAGCTAGCAGGCATGTTTTGAGTTTTTGGTCTCAAAAACTTGAGGATAAGTGGATACAGGAGGGGGACATTAATAGCAATTATTTTCATGCAAGTTTAAAGGAGAAGAGGAGCACAACTAAAATCAGGTCCTTTCTTAATAGTGATGGAGAACTAGAAGAGGATTATCATAAAGTGGAGAATCACTTTGTGAAGTTTTTTGAAGACCTGCTTGGGAAAACTGCTGATCATACACCAGCTGATGGTAGAGTACTTAGTTCAGGGTTTAAACTATTTATAGACCAGCAGATACTCCTGACTAAGGACTTTACTAAGGCTGATGTAAGAGCAGCAATGTTGAGTATTGATAGTAACAAAAGTGCAGGTCCAGATGGATACAGCCGTGAGATTTATAAAAAAGCATGGAGCACCATTGGAGATGAGGTTTGTGAAGCCATTCTGGAGTTTTTCAGGACTGGTAAGTTGTTGAAACAGCTCAATTCTACTTTGATTTCACTGATTCCTAAGAATGCTACCCCAAAAAATGCCGTTGAGTACAGGCCAATTTCATGTTGTAATACACTTTATAAGTGTATTACTAAGATGATCTGCAAAAGATTAGGTGATATCCTTCCTGTATTGATTGATGTGAATCAAGGTGCGTTTATTAAGCAAAGACTTATGTTGCATAATATTCTGTTATCCCAAGAGCTGATCAGGAAATATAATAGAAAATATACTAAGGCAAGCTGTATTATGAAGGTGGACTTAAGAAAAGCTTATGATTCAGTTAGCTAGAATTTTGTGGAGGAAATGATGCATCAGTACGGCTTTCCAAGTAAGTTCATAGGATGGGTAATGGAGTGTGTGACTACATGTACTTATTCTTTGAATCTGAATAGAAACATGAAAGGATTTTTCCAAGGGATGAGGGGATTAAGACAAGGTGATCCTATGTCACCTTTGATCTTTGTCATGGTAATGGAGTATTTGACAAGATGCTTCAAGGATAAGGTGGATCATGGTCTGATGGTTCTTCATCCTTACTGTGAAAAGCTTAAGATCACTACCTTGTGTTTTGCTGATGACTTATTGATCTTAAGTACAGCTGATTTGAAAATAGTGAAGGTGATAAAGAATGTGGTTGATCATTTTGAAGCAGTTATTGGACTCAGTGTGAATAACCAGAAATCAAATGTTTATTTTGGAGGGAAATCAGTGGATGTGCAAGGGGAAATCCAGGAGATTATGGGCTTTCAAATTGGGCAGTTTCCTATGAAATATTTAGGAATGCCACTTTCACCAACTACTTGGAATCAAAGAGAATGTCAAATAATGATAGATAAAGTTACTGCAAGGATTAAATGCTGGTCTTCCAGGCATTTATCCTATGTAGGAAGAACATTGCTAGTGAATTCTGTGTTTCTAAGTTTGAACTCTTACTGGGCCAGCTTCTAATACCTCAGAGTGTTATTCAGCAAATAAGTAAATGTTGCAGAGAGTTTTTATGGGGGAAGAAAGTGAATGGAGCAGCTAAGTCTCTGGTAGCATGGGATTTGGTTTGTAGAAGCAAGGGGGGAAGGCGGTTTAAATGTCAAAGAACCAGGAGCATGGAATAAAGCTCTTGTAGGGAAGCAGCTTTGGGATATAGCCAAGAAGAAGGAGAGTTTATGGGTGAAATGGGTAAACATCTATTATGTTAAACAGGAAAATTGGTGGGATTATAAACCTTCTCAGGATAGTAGCTGGCATTGGAAGAAGATCAATAAGATTAAGGAGCTGTTTTCACCAGGAATCTTGAATGGAAAATGGAAGAATAATGGAGGGAAGGAGTACAATGCAACCAGTGGTTACAGATGGTTAAGAGGTAATCAGACCAAATTCCTGCCTGCAAAGGTTATATGGACTTCAGTTGGTGTTTCCAAGCACAATTTCATCAGTTAGTTGGCATAACATGATGGATTAGTGACAGTGGAAAGATTGAAGAAGATGCTATTCGCGTTAATGAAACAAGATGTATGCTGTGCAAAAATGTAGAGGAGACAAGAAAGCATTTGTTTATGCAGTGTGACTATACTCAGAGAATATGGAAGGAAATAAAGGTATGGATAGGAATCATAAGGGAGATCAAAACGTTGAATGCAGTTGCTCAACATTTGGAAATTTACGCCTGCCAAACAAAAACTGTTGAATGCTTGTTTAAATGCTACAATGTATCATGTTTGGTTGGAAAGAAACAGTTGAAGGTTTGCAAGAACTGAGGAGTTAGTAGAGCACAAAGTAAGCAAGATTAAAACAGAGATGAAGTGTAGAGTTTTGAATTTGAAAAAGTCCAGGCAGAATGCATGTTTATTTAATTTTTTGAGATAGAAACTTGTACAGAAAGGCATGTAATAGTAGCATGTAGGGTTGTAAAGTTTTGAAGGTGATCAATACAAATTTACAATTTGCCTTGCGGGCAAATAACAATTTTTCGAAAAATGTTTTAACTCTAAGAATACACTTGCATGTTTATTGTTAGGGATTCGGAGTTGGAAAGTTACTGGGCATCACACAACTTGAACTAGTTACTCTTTTTGTTTCATATATGGTATGTTTCAATTTAAAAAAATACATTATTTTTATGAGACCAAAGAAATATAATTATATTGATCTAAAATCTTTGATTACTGCCATAAATAAGCTAATTTTCTCCACGTGAAACTATGAATCCGAAGCTGCTGCCACTCTGGTGCCACTAGAGAGATTTAATCTGGTCCATTTTGTAAACAAAGCAAGTAGCATCAAACCAGAAGCTTGGCAAAACAATCCACAAATTAACCCTATCCATAAGCCCTGTAGTAAAAGAGTAATAAAATCATTAATTAGGTGTTTGTTTTCCCTTTCTGAAAAACACACTCTTAATTCAATAGCAAAAATCAATACTACTCCGTCTTGAAATGATTATCCAATTTTGATTTTGATTTCTAATTTAATTATTTTATGATAGAGAAAATACATTTTAATAAGAGTCCCCTCCTTTTAAAAAAAAAAAAAAAAAAGGGTCCCCTCCGTTTAATTTTTGGACCAAAAAGTAAAATTCATTTTTATGTGTAAACTACACCACTACATTTTATGCAAAGTCGAGTAATACATACATGAAATAAATTAAAAAAATAGGAATGATGTGTCTAAAATGTAAATTATCCTTCTAGTTCTAAATGCATAAATCATAAATGGAAATTATAAAATTCAATGTATGAAATCTAATCCACATCATTTCTTCTCACTTTTTCTTATAAATTATGTATTCCTTACATATATCATTATTCTTCTATTAAAACCCCATGCTATTTGAATATTTGATAGAATAATGATAAACCCCCAGCTAGATTATGCTCCTTATATTTTTTTTATTTGTTTTTCTAGAAAATTTATTAAAATCAAGGAAATATTAATTAATATAGTTAAAATACAAAATCACCCTTATTTATTATTCATACGATTCATCACAAATATAAAAAAAACATTCTTTATAAACATTGTTTGATTTTCACTGTAAAGGTCTGAACATACTCTATTTGAATTCTTATTTACAACATTATTTAATAGCTGGATGTCTAAAGTTGTTCCTAATATAAAAGTAATATTAGTAAAAAGGGATCAAATGTATCTCGATTTATGAGAACGACTTATATTTAAAAAAAAATTTAAACCCTAAAACGATGTATAAAAAGGAATGGAGAGAATATTTAGAAGAGAAGTGGTAGGAGATGATGTGGATTAGATCGCATCTATTAATCCTTATCGCATTTTCTGTGAGAGTGATAGTTTAGATGTTACATGTATCATTCTTCATTATTTTCTTTATAATTTTTTCCATGAATGTATTACGCTCTATTTGATAATACAACTAACACTCTCCTATTAATTAAGTATTAACCGACAAACCAAACTTTAATTAACACCCTTATTGTCCAAAAGCGGAAGTCAACAAAAATACCATTCGCAAGTGAACTCCAACATCTATTTCGCTTGCGATTGAAAAGTTATGACGGTTAATTTTTACCAATAACAGATGCACGGAATAATTTATCGCGGGCATTGTTAGAATGAAGTAACAAATTAGTTCATTTTACCTTGGCATAGAGCTTAAATTTGAAACCGAGGACTCCCGCAATTGTCATTCCAATGAAGTAAAATGTTCCCAAGTTTATCAGCACTGCCGATTGCTGCCACCCGCAGCCTCTGGTCACACCTGGATTTACAAGAATGTGATACTTGTACTGAATGCAAATTAAAACTGGGAAATTCTAGGTCTGAGGGAAATTGGAGTAGAAGACGTATAAGACGAGAAGAGGAACTAACCGGATAAAATTCCTTGGATGAAATCAATGAAAATGGAGGTCATAAGGAAAGGCGTCATTGATGCGAATTTGGCTATTTTCTCTGAAGTACCAGTGAAGAAGCCAGCCCAGATATTGTGACCAAATCCTAATGCTGAAATCACAATGGCTCCAAGAACAACACATAGCTTCAGAGTTACATACATTGCATGCTTTGCCCTTTGAGGCTTTTCTGCTCCCAACTCGTTTGACACCCTGGTGCTGCTCGAGATTGAAAACCAACCTTTGTTAGTTAGTATTATCCCGTCCCGAAATGACTGTTAAATTTTTATAGTACTACAGATTTCAGCATACGAGATTAACCTTTTTAAAAGAAAATGAATCATTCAAATAGATCATAAATTTGTGCATCAATTCATCTATCTTAATTTTTCCTTTGAAGAAGTTCTCAATGAATCATCAAACTCCAATTAGTACTCTATCATGACAAAAATAAAGCCAATTGAATCGAAATGTGCATATTGGAATGCGTGACACAAATTGGAGGCCGAATTTTGGCTTGTTGATTTGATTGTCCGTGTTTAGAATAATCATTAACAAATGATTGTTCAAAGTTGAGGGGATTCTCCTTGCTAGCAGCTGAATTCATTTTACAGGGAATCAAAGTCAAAAGACACATAAAAACACTGATCCAAAATCAAAACAATGAATTAATTTTACCTAGCAGCTGCACTGAGGCCAAATGCAAAGTTATAGGCAATAGCTTCTGTATTTACACTAACCAAAAGACCACATAAGAAAATTCAGTCAGCAAATAATGGTCAAGTAGTAGTATGCATTAACGTTTGAGAAACCATTGAAGGATGAGCTTATAAAACTTACCACATTGCAACCACTGAAGTAGTTAATTCTGGATTTGGCATTAGCCCAGCTAATATCACAAGAATCTCAAATGCCCAGAATTCCAAACTGTTAGAATGAAACAGACTTGTCAAATTTCAAATTGAATGCGCCCGGAAAATGTTAGCAGGAGATTTACTAACCAAACCATTGCAGCACAAGGCAGAGCCAGCTTTAAGGTTGCAGGAACATAAAGAAAGGACTCCATTGAAAAACCATCCCAAGTATCCTTAAATTTAGTAGCACAAAGAACGTAACATCCCAACATGAGAACCGAAATCCACAAAGAAATCGAGGCCGCCAATGCGGCGCCACGAAAGGCAAGAGCCGTGCATTTGACCAAAACATATGTGATCCCAATATGTATGATCAAAGGCAAAACAGAGCACACAACTAGGGGTGCAACAACAGATTGTGTCTGAAGAAACCTCAAAATGTTTTGCAGAATTGCATATGCAAACAAACCCGGAATCAGAAACTTCAAGTACAGTCCGGCGGATTTGGAGATTTCAGGATCTTGGTGTAGCAGTATCAAGATTTTGTCAGAAAACCACCAGAGAATGGAGATGAGAATTGAGAAGAAGAATGAGATTATGCAAGAAGATTGCAGATATACTCCCAGCATTCTGTACAATTTCGCTCCATAGCCTTGTCCACATAATGATTCAAGGGCACCACTTAATCCCACCTGAAATATCCATAGTATAAAGTATAAACAATAAAACAGATAAAATTCAGTATAATTAGCTCAGGGCAGAGGAGTGCCAGAGAGAAAATGTTGCCCAAGAAATTTAAGGAAATAAAGCGTCTGAATTAAGCTGGATTAGCACTTTGTATCCAAAACTTTATATATATACAGCTACCATGAAAGCTAGGCCGGTGACGGCACACCAAGAATTAGCAAGGGTAGAGGCGGCAAGTTGAAGGTCTCCAAGATGACCGGCAAACATAACGGAGATAACAGGGATCCCATAGTATGAAACATTAGTCAGAATCATTGGCAATGAAAAAAGTAATTGATTCTTAGCCTCTTTCACGTCCAAAATCTTATTCCACCATTTTTTATGCTGCTGATTATCTTCTTCTCTTTCGTCTTCTTGAACTACTTGTATTTGTAATGTCCCATTAGCAGCCTCAGACTCTGTATCACTACTCATGTTTACAGGCATGGAAAGCTGCTTGTTCTGTTTCTTTTTCTCTCTGTTTTGGATCCGTTGATCAATTCCTTTCTGTAGCTCTTATTTTTGGATTGATCTAACAGAGTGATTAGACGGGGAGTTTGATGGCTGCCTTTAATCAATCATATGATTAGTAGGAATTTATTGAGTGTGAGGCAAGAATTATTATTACCATTAAAAGAAATGAATATTTCTATGAGTAGGTTCCTTAATTTGGTTTTGGCCTTTTGGAGGGTCAACGTATCCTAGCTATTGAGTTCGATCGATAAGAAATTTTTATTCGCTTTTTGTAGAAATTTAAGAAGTATTTCGATGTAATTGCACTTCAAAAGGGCAAAAAGAAAGGATGATAAGAAGAAGAAGAAGAATATTAGACGTCCTGTTAAGTTATTAAAATGGAAAACTCAAAACATCCCATTCAGGCATATGTACGTATTCGATCGGCCTTTGGAGAGTGACGATATACATAAGTCATGGTAGCAATCCTGTTCGTCTACCAATGATTTCGATAAACTAACAGACAATTGCTTATCAAATGGCATGGATGGTGCATCATTAATTAGTAGAATATATATACTCTTACTTAGGCAGTGGTTCATACGCAACTATTTGAATACAAGATGCCATGGATAATGCATGTGTCGTTAAAATTTAATTTGATCCCTTTGAGCAAAAAAAAAAATAATTTAATTTGATCCCGATTCGTAACCCTTGAAAATGAATAGTACAGCAGAACTTTTATAAATCAATAGTGTTGGTATCGTCAAAATTTATTAATTTAGAGAATTATTAAATAATTGATAAATTAATAAATTATTAATATAAAGAATATATATGTGAAAAAAAGAACCGTAACTAGATTGCATAATTTGCAGTTGTCTTTATATTTAAATTAGTCAAGTATTAAAATTCTTTTGAATACTAAATATCTATATATAGTTCATATCATCTTCAGGGATTAAAAAACAAGTATCAATTGATCACATGGTACTAAATGTTTATAGTTATTATTATGTTTTTTCGTTTAGGGTATTTATTAATTTATGGTATTGTTGGGACCTATAGATATATAGGAGATTTTCAGAAATATTATTATCTTGTCATTTTATCAATTTCCTTCACTTTTTATATGGTCCCAAGTTGGGACCGGAGAAAATTATTAATTATTAGAAGTTATTAATTTTTAGATTATTAATTTAGTAACGTTCTACTTACCTAACACAGTAATGTTTCTTAAAAAAAATGCTCTTATTTAAAAAAAAAAAAAATGCAAGAGTCAAGTAGTGTTAGAATACGAGGAGAGAACTAACTACTACCGTTTGACCCAAGAAAAAAGTAGTCCCCAAAAAATTTTTGCAAAATAAAAATCAGGGTACAACTTGTATAATCATGAAACTAGTGCAAGGTATATGTAATTAATTTTTACGCTCCTTATATATTAAGGTGTACAATCTTCTGTTCTCTATCTCTAGAAACGTCCTTTTAGGTGTATGATGGAGGAGATGCAAAATTAAGACGTTATAAATAATTGAACATTGTCGACCATGATCAAGCTTGAAACAGGAGTCATATCTTGTCCCTCGTGGAGCTTAGATAAGCGTTTTAATTACTTAATCTTTGTCTCTCAATGTCAAGTTTAACATAAATAGATGTTTTAAGTTGGTACTGAGGTGCAAAACATGTTTTTCATTGAGAGCTCAATAAATTTTTTTTTATATTTGTAATTAGAGTGAACCTCAAAACGAGTCATTAAACTATTAGGTAATTTTAATACAGGTTATCAATAAAATTTATTTGTATAACTGGTCACCATACTAAGCAAAAAAATCATCCGGGATCATTCTGTTAATTTTGACCATTAAACATTCTTTTGGGTTCAGGATATTTTTATCATTTTATAATTTTTTAATTTTAAATCTTTTTTTATTTTTTTTATTTTTTTACAATTCTTCTTCTTATACTTCTTAACTTGTATATACTGGTAGTATAATTTCTAAATTTCAAAAATTAATTTAACTTTTGTATTTTAACTCCTAGATTAAAATTTTAAAAAAAATTTAAGAAATGAAGAAGAAAAATTCGATTTAAAGTAAACATGAAAATTAATAGTTTATCATTTTAAAATAAAAGAAAAACTAAAATAATTAGCTAAAACAAGTTGTTTCTTCTAGGTTATTTAATTTTTGTTCAACTCGAATGAATTATTTAATTATTAATTTTCACGTTAACTTCGAATCGATTAAATTTTTAATTTGTATCTTAACTTCTAGATTATATAAAAAAAAAGGAATAAGAAAAAATAAAATTCATATTGAAGTTAACGTGAAAATTAATAATTAAATAATTCAATCGAATTGAAAAAATTAAATAATCTAGAAGAAACAACTTGTCCTATCTAATTCTTTTAGTTTTTATTTTAGTTTAAAATGGTAAACTATTAATTTTCATGTTTTCTTTAACTCGAATTTTTCTTCTTTATTTCTTAAATTTTTTAAAAATTTTATAATCTAGAATTTAAAATACAAAAGGTAAATATATTTTTTAAATTTAGAAATTATACTACTAGTATATAAAAGTTAGGAAGTATAAGAATAAGAGTTGTAAAAAATAAAAAATAAAAAAATTAAACAGATTAAAATTAAAAAATAATAAAATGACAAAAATACCCCTGAACCCAAAAGCATGTGAAAAATGGATTTTTGTCACTATTTAACGGCCAAAATTAACAGATTGATCTCAGATAAATTTTTTGGTTAGTATGATGACCTGTTATACAAATAAATTTGATTAATGACCTGTTTTAGAATTATCTAATAGTTCAATGACCCGTTTTGATGTTCACTCTTATAATTATTGAAAAGTGTCGGTTTATTTATTTATTTTTATACATACTATTACGAACACCTGGACTATTATATGGGTGGTGTCTTGGGGTCTTGGGGAAAGGAATAGTACTATATAGGAGGGCTCAAAAAGACGACTCCTGACAAACTTGCAAACCTGCAGGATATGATCAGCAAATTTTTGCTGTCAAGATGGTTTGAACCCGCGACCTCCCAGGGAAAGGAATAGTACTATATAGGAGGGCTCAAAAAGACTTGCAGGATATAACCAACAAATTTTTGCTGTCAAGATGGTTTGAACCCACGACCTCCCGGGAAAGGAATAGTACTATATAGGAGGGCTCAAAAAGACAACTCCTGACAAACTTGCAAACCTGCAAAATGTGACCAACAAATTTTTGCTGTCAAGATGGTTTGAACCCGCGACCTCCCGGTCGAGTGGCTAGCAAATTCTTGTTGCCAAGGTGGTTTGAACCCGCAACCTCCCGATTAGTGTCATGGCCTTTCAACCACTAGGCCATCGATCCCCTGTTTGACAGTCGGTTGAAACTTGAAACTATAGGGGGGACGACTAGCTTTAAAGAGAAGACTTGATAAAACTAGTTTCACATAAGAAAAGCGGTCAACATATAGAAGGCACTTGTTACATTTCCACTCAAATCGAATAAACATTTAAGGCATCCATTAAAATTTAAAAATGAATACTCCGACGTACGTAAGAAATCAGTACAAAATGTCAGTCTAGCATCAGAGAAAGCGAATTCAGCCCATAAACTAATTGAAAATGCAACTTGATATCCCCTTAACAGAAGGAATTGAACCAAAAACAACCCAAGTAGAAGAAAAAATCGAGAAAGTTGCAGATCGAAGCTGATAGGAAAAGAAGGGTACGTAAGAAATTAACCAAATGGTTCGAACCGAGAAGGGATTGGAATTAAATGGAAAATGAAAAAGAAAAATGCAGCAACCATAAAAAGATAACCGTACGCGTGACAAAGTTGTATTTATGTATTTATTTTCTTACATGGCAGTTGGAGCTCTCCCACTAGTTAGACTAATTAAGCCGTTCGAACCTTAAAGCAATGAGGAAGATGATGAGCGAGATGCGAGAACTGAAATAAAGATTAAGTCGAGAAAATCAGATAGATCTTTACGGATTCTTTCATTGCTATAAAAAGTTGCATTTTTTTTTTCGGGCATAACTCTTACTATTATTTCTTGAAAATTATGAAACTCAGAATCTTTTACATTACTGATTTGAAATATTTGTCCATAAAATGAGTTGGGTTTTTGAGCTTTGTATATAACATGTATTTGGCTAGTTGTGTGGAACTGGAATGTGGATTGTGGGGACGAGTTTAAGTGCTGATTTTTTCCGGGTTGCAAGTCCAAAAATTTCTGAAAGATCAATATCACCGGGTCCTACTCCATGAGGCAATGCCCAGTTGAAATGGTACAACAAGTGAGCAAGCGTAATCTCGACGCTGGCCAAGCCGAAGGAGTAACCAGGGCAACCTCTTCTTCCACCTCCAAATGGCAAGAACCTGAAATCTTGTCCACCCTTAAACTCAATACCCACATCCATAAACCTATCAGGATTGTACTCCAGAGGGTTCTCCCATGAATCCTTATCCCTTCCAATGGCATAGGTATTGATCAAAACCCGAGTTTTCGATGGGATTTCGTAACCATCTTCTAAGGTGCATTTGGCCATGGATTCTCTTGGAACCAGAAGAGGAACTGGAGGATGAAGTCTCATGGTTTCTTTTATTATGGCTTTCAAGAAATGAAGTTGTGGAAGATCACTTTCTTCAACTTTTCCTTTCTTGGATGTTGCAACTTGCCTCACTTCATCTTGTGCTCTTTTCATGATCCATGGATGCCTTGCCAATTCTGTCATTGCCCATTCTAGGGTTGCAGATGTTGTGTCTGTCCCAGCTACAAACATATCCTGCGTTGACATACATTATAGACAATATTATTTTTCAAGTCAATGTCTTAGTAGCCCCTTGACCCATTCAATGAAAAACAAAGGAACTGTGACCTATTTCAAAATGGAACATAGCAAGGCATACAAGGAACTATTGAATGAAATGATATATGATTGGTTCACATAAAAAAAAAAAAAAAACTAATGGATCAATTGTATTCTTTAAAATATGAAATATGACGATCGCATGCTTGTATTTTTCCATGTGGAATATGAGAGCCGCTTAATCATTACTTCATTTTTATTTCTATCATTACAGATGTCTTTGATTTAAGGTCAACCTAGCTGGCTGTGAAGTTAACTTTCTCCTTACTTCACAAAGTCAACCTAGTTATGAAGTTGGATCAATTTCTCGAGTATTCTTCTGACTAAAATATTAGAATACGTTCGCGCGCGCGTTGACTGAAATAAACTAAAGCTGTAATACCATATACTAACAATTAACAAAGACAGTTAAAAATGAATAATAAAATAAATAAATAAACGCTAAGAAAAAAAAGTAAAAAACTGCATGCATGCATGTGTACTACTCTTAACAAACCAATATAAGGAATAAAAGGTGACAGCTTTTGCGTACGTACCAAAACAAGGGCTTTGAGGTTGTCATCAGTGATAGGAACGTCAAGGTCATCTCGTTTTTGTACTCTTAACAAAACATCCAAAAAGTCTTCCTGATGTTCCTCTTGTCCTTGTTGTTTCTTTGTTGCATTGACATGATGATGGTCATGAATGATTTCGTCACAAACCAATCTCAAGTCCTCCAAATTCTTCATCAACCTCCGCCGCATCCCACTCACCGAGTTAACCCATTCCCAACTCGGGAAGAAATCCCCTACACAAAACCCGGCCAACAAAGCCTGCGTCTCCGTCAACACCTTCACCAGCCCCCTCATTTCGTCGGCGATGAACCTCTTCCCGAACGCCACCCGGCATAGCACGTCGTTTGCCAGCTTGAATAACATCTCGCTCACGTCGACGGCTTCCGACGCGGCGGCGGCCACGGCGGACAGCATCCGGTTCGCTTCCTGGCTCCGGATGAGTTGGAACGAGCTGACTCGTTTCGGGCTGAGCAACTCGGTGACGCAGATTTTCCGGGCCTGACGCCAGTAGGGTCCGTATGGGGAGAATGTGACGTCGGAGCAGCCGAAGGAGAGGTACTGCGCCGAGATCAGCTGGGGCCGGTTGGACATCACCTGATCGTGGGTCTTGAGCACTTGCTCCGCCAGTTTTGGGGAGGAGATCACTAGGGTCTGGACCTGGCCCAGTTGGAGGGTGAAGATCGGGCCCAGTTGTTTGGCTAGTCTGGCGAACATAATGTGGGGCATCTCGTCGGTGAGGAGCAGGAGATGGAGGTGGCCGATGATCGGAAGCTTTGGGTGGGGACAAGGCGGTGGCCGTGACGGAGGAGCAGGACGTCGACGGCTGCCGGGTTTTATTATGTAAATGAAGACCAAGTAAAAGGTTGCAAGAGCTGGTATAATCATGTAGAAATATTCCAGTACTGAAATGCTACCCATCATCTCTTTTCGATGTGTTTTGAGTTAGTTTCTTTTTCTCCTGGATGGAAGGTTTAAGTTTGGATATATGGTTGAAAGTGAGTATTGAATATGATCGCATATGTGGTCATGCTTATCTATATGTATAATTCAAATGATGCCTCTTCAAAAGAGAAAGGAAAGAAATAAAATCACTCCCAACCGGAAGTCATTTTTAAGGGATCCATGATTCTTGGTTGTAATAGTGCGTGGTTTCTCTTTACCGAATAATTATTTAGTTTGAATTTTTATTTTCTGCACAACTTGTACTTATAATAAAAATTTAAACTAGACAATCATTTTGAGACGGTGACAATATATAAAATATATTATTACATGATACATATGTTGTTAGAATTAGATGTATCAACTAGCTAGGTACTACTTGGCTGCTTACTAGCATGGTTCATGCATGCATATAGAAAACAAAAAATTTAAAAATTACAACAACACAGTTTCTGAATGGGACACTCTCTGTAAGTTGAGATATCGGCAACATGAGTCTTAGCCATTTCCATTACCCTCTCACGCGTTTCTCTCGGCAGGTGATTAAAAATTTCTCATTAGTCAATCGATCGAGTTCGTAAGCCTGGAAACTAATTGGAATTGAAGATATATATTTTTATTATCGATATCATGATAATGGATTAAAAGTACTCAACTAATTAATTAATCAACATGTTGCTAATTTATCTAGTACTTAAAGATCCCCATCATGTATTCGATCCGCCTTTAAAGTGATGTGCATAATTTAGGCTAGCAATAATCCTCAGTGTCTAGAATTGACTTCGATAAAGTAACACCAAACTGCTTATCATTGGCATGGATCGTGCATCCTCATTACGTGTGAAGAATATTCGTGATTTAAGCATCCCTTAATTTATATACCCATATTGCAAAAGATGCCATATGATGTCTCATTGCACGACTTATTACTCATAACCCTTGAAAATGAATTATAGTCCGTCATATAATAATGTGTTTATAATTACTAGTCGTATATTCTTCATTGATATTTTTATTCTCGTAGTAGTTGGAACGGCAAGCACTTCGGAGCAAGTAGATGCCAAAAAGAAGCTCATGACAAGGGACATAGTAAATTTTGAAAAAATCATTGCTCAAGAAAGGTGAAGAACCAGATTTTATTTCTGCTTGTAAACAAAGAAAGAAGCCTAGTGCCAACATAAATCCGAGAGTACCTCGCTCCAAAAGAATTAATTTCTGCTGATCATAATCTTTTTTATTAGTTCTATTAATCTTGCTTTGAATATTTTTAAATGTTTTGTAAAAGGTGGTAAGTCTTATGCACTCCTATTTTCTTTTCTTTTATTTCCAGTTAAATAAAATAGGTGTTGTACCTGGAAGGCTCTGCCTTTTTTGATTAAAAAAAGGATGTTTTTATTGCAAATTAGCTATACGTACACAGAAAGAATACTTCTTTCAAGTAAACTTATAAAGAATATGAATAATTTGTGTACCTAATTAATTTCAAAAGCATATAACAATTAAGAGTGTGTGAAGTACATGGCGCGTAATTTGATCACACGTTATTCCTTGTCAAAACTCATGGGAGGATACTGAGAAGTGATGAAGTAATTAAATTCGTTATGTCACTCACAAAATTGGTGGAAATAGACAACAAGTCAAAAAATATACTCCATCTGTCCCATAATTATTGTCCAGTTTAACTAAGATGAAAAAATTTCTTTTTGGTCAAATTTAACTATATTTTGGCTAAAATTTCCAGATATACCCCTTCCGGATACCCAAATCTAAGTCTCCATTTTTTCATCCTCTTATCAGTGCCCTGCAAATATTGATCGTCTTTATCGACCAAGGAGGCCACGTACTCCTCACCGGGCAACGGAAAACAAGAGAAAATCTCCTCCCACAATTTTGATTGCCCAATAAATGGTACCTTCTTCGATTTCAACTATCCTCAAACTCCTCCATTAATCCATTATTGATTGAAAGAGAAAATGGGTCTTTTCATCCCAAAGTTTGAGCCACACCATCCAAAACATCCCAAAGTTTAAGAACAAATATCCCAAACTTTTTAAAAACATGTTACTTTAGGATATTCGTTAAATTTTTAACTCCAATTAATTAATTAGTGGTGGTACTTTATTCTGTTTCTCCTCCTCCAATTCTTTTAATCATTTAACACGTTTCACTAACTCCCACCTTATAAGAAAATAGCTAAACCTAATTTGGTCTTCACATCATCCATTCTTCCCGTAGTTAGAAAAAGAAAAAAAAAAAATCCAAGATTCACCTTCTAGATTGATAACAATCATGAGAGGTTTGTGTGTGTCCTAATTAGAAAGTAAGCCCTATTTCATTTATTTTTTTAAATATGTAGTATCATTATAAAAATTAGTATTGTAATTGATGCAGGGGCATGCAACTTTTTTTGCTTGGCATGGACCAAATTTACCAAACGCAAGTATGAAACTTTTTTGACAAAAAAAAAATGGGAGAAAAGAAACTGAATGAAATATCGCCGTTAATAACTTGAAAAAATTAACAAATATTCTAATGTTACATATTTTTGAAAAATTTGGGATGAAAATGGCATGCTTTTAAATTTTGAGATGTTTTAGATAGTGTGACTCAAATCTTGGGATGAAAAGACCCATTCTCCCTTGATTGAAACTATGGGATCCCCGTATTCGTCAGAAAGATTTCTTTCCAATATTCGTTTTTGACAACCACCGGTCACCTCGTTCTCATTGTTGCTTTGAGCCGTCAGAATATGGGCTTAGTTTTGCTGCTTTCTTTTCATCTTCTTGATGATTTTTGCTCTTTCTTTTCCAGTTGTGGAATTTGATTTTCAAGCATCTGACTTTTAGGGCGTTGTTAGTACTCTTTGATTAGATGTTTGATAATCATATATTACAAAAATTAGTTGGTCTTTCAATCCCATAGATTTTACTTTTTGTTTGTTTTTGTGGGGTGTTATTTATGGCTTAATGACTAATGGATTTGGATTTGAAGGACCAAATGAGCATAGATGAATTTCCATTTTGAGTTCTGAAACTTGCTTTACTGAATTGTGTTCTGCTGTGTTGTGTGTGAATAAAACGGTTTCCGGTCACTACATTAAATGGCAAAGGTATAACTTATTCCATAAAAAGTCAAATTAGACAATAATTTTAAGATAAATTTTTTTTGTCAAAATGGATAATAATTATGGAATGGAGGGAGTATATATTTGGGACCAGTGGATCAGTCTCCCGCAAAGGCATGAAAATGGGTTGAAATCGGTGGAAAATGGACATGACGGGAACGTCCATGTACATATGATTAATGTTATTGACTTAATTATAAATAAATTACCTGCATTCTCCTCTACGACATGACATCACTACTCATAATTACGAAATCTAGTTAGAACAAAATGATAGAGATATACTACTGCTAGTAGTAGTTCTGTTTGTGTGTGTGTGTGTGTGTGTGTGTTTTTTTTTTTGTTCTTTTTGACTTAGTTCTGTTTGTGTTGAAAAAGGTCAGAACGGCGTGCGGATGGCAGCCTATTGCATTATTACATAATCATCAGATTTTTTATTTTTATTTCTTTTATAATCATCATAATGTTAAATGACATATGCAAGCACGCAACCTCCATGAGGTTCTGTTTTGTGATATGTTTGAGATGCAATGGATTACCTTTTCAGTTATTCTTTTCCGCTGCAAATTGTTGGTAGAATACTAAAATCAATAAGTTGGGTTTGTACCAAAAACTAAAAGTAAATCAACATCTTGCTCAACATGTTTGATAAAATCTTCATAAGCTCCATTGAGTAATCGGGCATCCAAATTTGGACTTTGATACTTCCCTCCGTCCCATAATTATTATCTTATTTAGGTTTTTATTTTTATTTCAAATTGTATTAAAAGTGAAATTTTAAATTGAACAATAATTTTGGGACAGATGGAATACATATTATTACTACTTCTCGCATCTCTGATTTTAAGTTTTTAACAAAGTTCAAGAGATTTTTAGAAATTGTATGCACTACTCGCCGTTAAGAGTGAGATCATAATTCGAAACCTGCAACATAATTGAGATTATGTATCACTACTACATAATGTTTAGAGACACCATACTTTAACTTTGTTGTCTCTTTCATTGTAAAAAATAAAATCAAAGTCGTACTGCTACAAACACAAATGTGTAAGTTGTAATTGAAAAATTGTTACCATGTTTTCTTAAGGATATTAAAATTATTGTTGCCATTTTAAAAAAAGAATAAAATTAAAACACATCTACATATTAAATAATTAACTGAAGTTGAAACAATTATTGCAACCATTCAATAACAAATTAAGATGAACCGATGCCATTTTCCCTCGTCTTCTGAGGCTTATAAATAGGGTTCCCAAGCTATAACAAACCACACCAAAGCTAAAACACACACAAATACCTCCTTTCCATCTTTCATTGCGCCAAATATTGATTTGTAAGCCCGGACACTTTCTTTTTTTCTTTTTTTTTTTCGTTCATCACCCAACTTTATCATGGCCATGTTTGCTAGTAACATCTTAACCGAAGGTCCAGTGGCCCTCATCGGGGGACCGAGTTCCGGCAAATTTGCTGCTTGCCAGGTTCAATGCATTATGCCTTAACTAATACTAGCTCCATTTTTTTATGTCTGCATTAGAGTAAACTCAACGCTTTTTCTTAACTGTTGTACTTCATTTCTAATACATTATTACATATAATATTTCAATATCACCCTTTATCTCTCTCTACTTTAATCATATATATTAATAACAATTATTTATTTTTTACTTCAATTGTAAATTTTTATATAATCTTAATACTTTAATTAAAGGTAAGAAAGATATTATACCCAAAAATTAAAGTCTCAATTTTTTATTTTAATATTTTTGCATACCCCAATGCGTCAGATAAGAAAAAAAAAAGTAGTACCATGATTTTGACGTTATGAACTCCATAACTTCTTACGGATTTGTAAGAACAATGATTTTGACGAACGAGTGCATAAATATATATAACTATATATATATATATATATATAAACTGCATTGGCGATTCTTTTCTACTTAGAAACCCCCCACAAACTACACTACTGGACATTTTTTTTTTCAATCTTTTTTGCATTTTTATTTTTGCAGATTGAAGCTGCTCTTGACGATGGCGGAAGAGGACATTCCAGAATGGATACCTTTGCCGACTATATTGGTACTCTCTCACTCGCAACACGAAGACATACATCCGTATACACTCTATCTAAAATGATTGTCCAGTTAATCTAGATTTTTTATTTTTAATATAATTTGTACTAAAAATAAAATTTTTAATTAAAGAATCATTTCACAAAAGAAAGAATACATACAGGAAAACAAAGACAGGAATGCTTGAAGATTATGTTCTTTGAGCAAGACGACTCTGAATTCATTGAATAAAGCGAACCATGATATATTCAGACACATAAGTAATATTTTTTCTGTCTTAAAAAATTAATCCATTTCGGCAAAAGATCGTCTATGATACTTTTTTGTGACACGGTCTAATTACTTGTTACAAATTATATAATTTGTATTAATACATATACTATTCACAATTACTATGAAACTTACATATTTTAGGATCAATGATTCACTTTTTTCGGGTTAGGGTCTATTTATTTTAATTTTGTAGTTAAAAACTTCAACAAAAATAGCAAATTTAATTAAAAAAAATAAACATTGATATACAAAATAAAATAAGAATATGAAAATTATCTACATGAAAAAATAAAACATTATATAACTTATACAAAATAATTGGATTGTGAAAGTGTCACAAGAAAGTGTCATGGAGCATCATGTATTGTTTTGTTGTCCTATTTTAGTTCAACAAAATAAGTTTTTTTTTTTTTTTGGAGAAGGAGCAATTATAGTTTCTGGGACACATTTTTTCAGTCCTACGCACAATTCACTCTTCCAAAAGCATAAGGCAAAAAAGTAAACCAGATGATACTAGAAGATAAACCAACCAGAAAGTGTACGATACAGATTATTGCAAATAGCCATGCATCCTTAATAAAAATCTATTAAAAAGAAATGGTAAGAGATTATGGAGTATTCGCGCATGTGTTTTAATTCTAGCAAGAAAATTAACATATGACAAACTTTGGTAGTGCATAAGCAACTGGTGCCTTCCCGGGAGAGAGCCAATGGAGGGGATGAGAAGAGGGAGATTTTGTACGGAAGGAGCATTCATTCCACGTCCTTGGCCGTGACTGAACCTGATTCCGACGGCGAGTCAACCGACGACCGGGAAGCTTATATGGCTAGGGTTTTTGCAGGATATCAAGAATTCTTTCTTGAAAGAACCAAGTACAACTTAGGGTATCCAGCTAATTTGGAGTTCGATTACGGCGCTCTTAGTCAATTGCAACCCTTCACCATCAACAACGCGGGCGATCCATTTATTGAAGGGAACTACTGTATCCATTCAAGACAGTTTGAAGTTGGGGTCCTGGATTGGTTCGCCGGGCTGTGGGAGATTGAAAAGGATGAGTATTGGGGTTACACCACAAGCGGTGGAAGTGAAGCGAATCTTCACGGAATCCTCATTGGAAGAGAGCTCTTTCCGGAGGGAATCTTGTATGCATCAAGAGATTCTCATTATTCCGTCTTTAAGGTTGCACGAATATGCAGATTGGATTGCGTAAAGGTGGATACTCTTGTCACAGGAGAAATAGACTGTGCGGATTTTAAGAGAAAACTAGCCATGAACAAGAACAAGCCCGCAATTATCAATGTCAACATAGGAACAACGGTCAAAGGTGCTGTGGATGATCTCGATCTTGTCATTCGGACCCTTGAAGAAACCGGGTTCACCCGGGACAGGTTTTACATCCACTGCGATGGAGCATTATTCGGAATCATGATGCCATTCCTGAAACATGCGCCACAAGTTTCATTCAAGAAACCTATTGGAAGTGTAAGTGTTTCGGGCCACAAGTTCTTAGGTTGTCCGATGCCATGTGGTGTGCAGATTACGAGATTGGAGCACATAAACGCGCTTTCGAGCAATGTGGAGTATATTGCTTCAAAGGACGCCACAATTACAGGAAGTAGAAATGGTCATGCTCCGATCTATCTGTGGTATGCTCTCAACCGGAAAGGACATAAAGGGTTAAAGAAAGATGTTTTACAGTGTGTTAAGAATGCTCAATACTTGAAGGACCGTCTTAGACGGGCCGGGATCAGTGCTATGCTCAATGATCTGAGCAGTACCGTTGTTTTCGAGCAACCGCGGGATGAGGGGTTTGTTCGTCGGTGGCAACTTGCTTGTGAGGGAAGAATCGCGCATGCGGTTGTGATGCCGAATATAACAGTTGAGAAGTTGGATGAGTTTTTGGAGGAACTTATAAAAGGACGATCTTCATGGTACAGAGATGTCAAAGTCCAGCCTCCTTGTCTTGCAGAGGTTATTGGACCTGCAAATTGTTTATGTCCTCTTCATAAGTGATCAAGGGATCTTAAGTTTTTAAACTTTGTTGGTTGTTCTCAAATGTGGTTTAATAAGAGAAAACAACTGCTTGGAAATGTTTTTTCTTTCATTAGTCTTTGTTTCTCAAGCTCAACGTGCTGTTTACTTTAAAGACTAGGGTTTGTAAGAGGGCTAGCTTTACTCTAGGGTTTGTGAAAGTTAATAAATTTATTTGGTATCAATGTAATATTTAGTCTCAAAATGTTTATTTTTTTTATGAAATTTGTTGCATCACTTGTTCATCAACTTTGTAAAGCTAACATGAATTATTTGACAAAGACCAAAATCCAATTTTTGCCGAAAATTTTATTTTTTTTGTCAAATTCTTTTTTACGTCGATTTGTGCGTCTAGTTTTCAACATGAAAAAAAAACCCGAAGAAGTCGATGAAAGTCAAAAATCATTTTTTGTGTCCTTTTCACGATCTTTTGATGGTATTGTTTTTTATTAATTAATAATTTATGTATCGGTATTTATGCAAAACCCAAAAAGATCTTTAGTTTTGTTGAAATTGTTTGCTTTAACTTTTTTTTGGTCTACTTTACAAAGAAGGTCAAAATTCATTTTTTATTGTTTCTATATTTTTAATACTCCCTCCGTCCCATAATTATTGTCCACTTTGCCCAAAAAATTTTGTCCCAAAATTATTGTCCAATTTGACCTTTTATGGATCAAGTTACACATTTGTCCTAAATAAAAAACATTATCCATAAAATCTTTATAGTTAAACAATTACTTATATAGGGGTATATCCGGTTGTTCAAGTTAAAATATAGTTAAGTTTGACTAAAAATAAAATCTTTCATTTTAGTAAAGCTGGACAATAATTATGGGACAGATGGAGTAGTAAATATGTACTGTATCGACATCTCTCATAAAAGATGTGATGGTCGACACTAAACAAACTCAATACCGTACCCTCCATGTTCGAATTTTTTAACTAGATTAGAAATTAGATGCGATCAAAAAATATAATCGTTTATTTCTCTAATTCCTGTTGCAGCTTTAAGTATTCTCCGATCAATTGGTATTAAATGATGCAAGTGTCATAAGATGCCATTTTATGTTAAATTTGTCCATGTAAGCTTTTACGCCTCTTCAGAAAAGTCGAAGAAAGATCAAATTCGTTCTTTTGTATCTTTTTTTTTTTTTTTAAGTAGATGGAATTATTGCTTGTTAATTCATAAATGTATTGGTATCAATGTAAAAAGTGTCAAAATTGTGCACGTCTTCTTCGTAAATGATAAAGGGGTCTAGCCGTCTTGATTTTGAAAATGCTGTTCAATATGGTTTGGCGAGAGGGAACTACGGCTTGTGATTTAATTAGTTTTCGTTGTTCTGAAGCTTCACTATGTTAAGTGTTGCTCCCATGTGCAGTTTACTATAAAACTATGGTTTGTAAGAGGGCTAGCTTGAGTAGCTCAGTCCTTGTGAAGTTTGGTATGAAAAACACGAATAAGTTTCGATATCTAGCTAGTTCATTTATGAATAATAATAATAAGCAACAAAGCAATGTGTTATTTCAGTTAGAAGCATTTTTACTTTTCTTCTTATGTATCAACAATAACTTGATCTGTATTTACTTTCCAAGGTAATCTACTAACCCGGAAAAAAACATGAACAAAATCAGTATTACGAGAAAAGCTAGCTAACTCTGACTTACCAGAAAAGCTTGGAGATCTCCTAAAATTGGGCCAGAGCTTATTTTCTATCAATTTAGAGTTGGGCTTAAGACTCGAAATAAATAATTATTATTGTTGAGTGAGCGTTAAGTTCCCTCAATGGTTGTGTTTACAATTTAGTGAGCAGAATGAGTCAATGTTATTTAAGAAAAACACCCTGCAATAACTAGGCACTTGGCCTCTCTGTTCTATCAACAAAAAAAATAAATAAATAAATAAACCGTGCATTATGGAAGGCAAAAAAAAGTAATAATAATAAGAAGAAAAGAAACATCATACCTACAGTAGAATGTCGGTAAATTAATAATCTATAAATTAATAACTTTTAATAATTAATAATTTTCTCTAGTCTCAACTTAGGACCAGTACAAAAAGTGAAAAAAATCGATAAAATGATAAGATAATAATATTTCAGGAAGGTCCCAACAATATCATAAATTAATAAATATCCTAAAAGCAAAAAAGTAATAATAATAAATATTTTAAAATATGAACTATTAATACTTTTTTTTAGTACCTGAAGATGATATAAACTACGTATGGACTTTTTAGTATTCAAAAGATTTTTAATACTTGATTCATTTGAATGTAAAAATAATTACAAATTAAAAAAATTTAGTTACAATTCTTTTTTTCTCATAGAGATTCTATAAATTAATAATTTATTAATTTATCGATTATTTAATAAGGAAATTGATATATCTAGTGAAAAAAAAATAGTGAAAAAAGATAGTGAGTGATGTGGAGTATTCTTGGCCCTAGGTTTTTGTCACTTTCCCGTTAAAATTTTATCTTTTCTCAAAATTATAATTTTACCCTTAATTAATAGGTACACATATTTAATCAGGATAGTGTATTTGTCTTTTCATTAGTCACTATATTTTTTCACTATAATTAATCACTATTTCTATCATTGCTCACTTAAAATTCTCTAAATTAATAAATTTTGGTGGTCTCAACACTATTGATTTATAAAAGTTCTGTTGTAGTTAAGTGCCTTTGTTTATCAAACAAATGGCTGTGATGCTTATATAAAGTCAATTTACTCATGTGGCACTAATTAATATTTCCTATCTTAAATGGGTTATTTTGTCTGAATTTTCACTGTTAGTATAATTTAAATTTAAAAATTAAAAAAAAAATAAATTAGGTAACTATTTTAGAACGGAAAGAACAATATTTTATTTCTCATGAAAGAAAATGTTAATGTGGAATGGGGACTTCGGATTTTGTTTACTTTTTGGGAGGAAGAAAAGGTGCTTTTGGACAATTTTCCACCAAGAGGCAGAAAGCTGGGAAGCACATCAAAAAGTTTGCAATTGATTAGTTTGATATTATGGGGCTATAAATCAATGTATATAGTAAATACTTAGAAGTCTCACTAGTCATTTTATTAAAGTTTTTGTAGTACAATTAAAACTTGCCATGGAAGTTTAATGATACAATGGTATCATAAAAACGTTATGGATATATAATACTCCCTCCGTCCCATAATTATTGTCCACTTTTACTAAAATAAAAGATTTTATTTTTGGTCAAACTTTACTATATTTTACCTTCAACAAACGAATATACCCCTACATAAGTAATTGTTTAACCACTAAGATTTTATGGATAATGTTTTTTACTAAGGACAAATGTATAACTTGATCCATAAAAAGTCAAATTGGACAATAATTTTAGGATAAAATTTTTTGGGCAAAGTGGACAATAATTATGGGACGGAGGGAGTAAAACTAACTAAAAATGATGTAAAGATATAAACCCTAAGCTAGGAAATGAAAAAGAAAACTTGAACTTCTATTAAAGATGCTGAAAAATGAGATAAAAGTCACTAAAATGAGATAAAATGAGATAAATTCGTGTACATTTTGGTATTTATAGGGGAGGGGTACGTTGGGTCTACAATTTATATAAAAGAAACTATAAGGCACAATTGATCGTCCTTGAAAGTAGAGAATTGATAGAGTTTGGGGTTGCTTAGCACGACATTTGGAATACCAAAATGAAAAGCGGAAGCCTTTAGTTGCAAGACTAAAGTGCACTTTTTTTTTTCCTCAATCCTTTTAAATTAAAGTAGTCAAAATTTAACATTGTTATTATCCTCTTACCTCACAAATTCACAAACAATTCCATGTGATTCAACAAGAAAGCACAACAAATTACAAATCAGAGACACAAAGATTTGAAAACTCACGCCTGAATATTCAAAAAAAAAAAAAATTTGGTGAAACCCACAACAAAAACGACAGCTCCAAGCTTCCCAACCTTCCAAAAGTTCAAATTCAGTTTCAATTGAACAAAGAGGTCGTGGTTAGATTCGGTGACCGATTAACCCGAACCGAGTAACCGAACCCTTAATCAGTTGGTGCGGTTCGGTTTAGCATATTTTTCGGTTCGGTTTCGGACAAGTCTCATGAGAGGAAAAATCCGATTAACCCGAACCGAATTTCATTCGAACCGCCCAACCCGCCCGAATTGACACCCCTAGACTTCTGGACGCGGGGGCTTCTGAGCAATTTTTGGAAGTTTCTTTCTTCTTCTCACTTTGATCTGAAATTTCAGCGTGGCCGGGTTCCGGTTCACCGACGACGATCGGCTCTGGCAATTCTTCATGAAAACGATCAAATCTAACACCAAAATGCTCCCAGGAATGAGATCTATGAATATAAGCTTTGTTGTTCGATTTGGCAGCTGCTTCGTTTGCTTTTCTTTCTTGCCGGTAAAGTCATCATCACCGAAGATTTGGGAAGGTTTTTTCTGTCGAAATCAGTCCCGATTGACTCCTCTCCGGTCCAGTAACATTTACTCCTCAATTTTCGTGGAATTGAGCAAGATTTTCAGTTCCAATCGGGTCCTTAGACTGTTGTCTAATTCCTCCATGCTCTGCTGGAATTTTAACAGTTTCAGCCCTGAGTGACATATTTTGTTCCCCTGTTTCATCTATTTCCAGCCGGAATTTGGATTTGATATCTGAAGAGAAGTTGTAGCCCGTTCTTTCAGCTTCAGAACCATATAAAGAACTTCCCAATCCGAGCTCTGGATGTCGAGTTATGATCTCTGGAAGTATGTTGCTGGTTGCTGCCATTTCTGCAGATTCGAAGGTAGTTCTGACTGATTAATTTCAACTGCAGTTTTGATCAGTGAAACGCGTGAATCTGAAGAAGTACTCTGCATGAACATCGTAGCTCTCCCTTTCAGCTTCATAATGGTACCTTGAACTTTCAAATCAGAGCTACGGATCACAAGTTAAGGTATCCGGAAAATGACTGCTTGATGCTAAAACTCTGCACATTTTAGATTCAGTTCTGATAACCAAAATTCAACTGCAATTTTGTCCCCTTTATCATCTGAATTTGGAGAAGCGTTGTTCATGACAGTTGTAGCTTTCTGTTTGAGCTTCGCAATGATATAAAGAACGTCCAAATCTGAGTTTTGGAGCTCAAGTTACATTCCTCTAAACATAGCATATGCAACTTATTTCAACACTCGAGCATTTTTAACAATCATAGCTCATTTTGCTTCATTTTCTCTCCCATTTTATATCATTTACTTGCCGTGTCATGAAAAAACATAAGACATGAGAAATGTGTACTTTTAACTCAATAAATCCACAAGAAATGAGTCAAAATTAAAGAAAAACCGTATGAAATCATATGAGATAGCGACTATGTTCGCTTCTCATCAAATTGGTTAAAAGGTGGGCCGTCACCTTTGGATATTGAGTTTCTCTTCATTATTTGTTGGTGGATATGGCTGGGCGGAACAATAAAGTCTGGCGGAATCAGGATTCGGATCCTTTTGTTCAATGGCAACAGATTCATCATGACTTTTATTGTCACAAAAAGAAATTTCACAGGAGGACCAACAGACGGAATGTTCTTCCAACCATTGTACAACAATCTCCATCGAGAGATTATTCCTCTATTTTGATTGATGGATCGTATGATCTACAGTCACACAGTGTAGCAGAAGCCTGGAAAATAAGCTCTATACTAATATGCTTATGCAAATCAAAGCTGTTAACCACAGTTCCCTATCCCCCTTCCAAATGGAGGCATTAACTTGTCTCATGGCAATGCAGGAATCTTCGGCGCTTGGATTAGACCGCATCAAAGTCTTTACAGTCTGTGAAATGCTGACCCAAGATCTTAATAGTCCGCTAATCCCGACGAAGGCCCAAGAAATAGTGTCTTTGTTGAAGACCTTAAGTATTAATTTTAATTATTGTCTTATTACTAAAGCAAGTAGACTATAGGTAGAGGAAGTGCACAATCTAGCTTATGGAAAAATGCACTGTAATAGAATAGGTTCTCATTAAAATACAGAAACCATTTTTAAAAAAAAGAAAAGAAAAAAAGATTTATGTAATAGAATAGGTTCTCATTAAAATACAGAAACCGTTTTTAAAAAAAAAAAAAGAAAAAAAGATTTGTCAACCCATGTCCACTTATTGCCGGCTTCTTTTGTAATTATTAGAGGTGTTTGTTGTTATGTTTTAGGACAGGAACCACGAAAATCAAACGAGTGGTTGCTATCCTAGGATTGGAAGATTGTAACCTAGTTCTAGAGGTCGTAATCAAAATGCCAATTATGCTGGCGGGTTTCTTAAATAGTCTTCATTTATTGTTGATATAAGTACTAGTATATGTCTAGTTCTTTTGAATGATACTAATATTCATTTTAGACATTTTCTTTTAAAAAAAGATTGGACTTCCCCTCATCGTAATAGGCAACAATATTAGGAGACAAATATTAAGTGATAGATTTAGTGCGTAATTTAGGATAATCGGTGGTTCATTACCAAAGTCCTCTCTAACGTTAATACCAAAACCAGTGTTAGATTTAACCCATGACTTTCCATCAATAAATTAAACTCGCTACTTCACTTTGAGAGTAAGAGTGATTTAACCTCATAATCACAATCTTGTTGACATTTGTGACATATAAATTAAATAACTTTGATTTTTTTGCAATTATATTTTTTGAATGTTGATTTATAATGTGAAATGTGTTTTTTTTTTAATTTTTACCATCTTGATAATATCTAAATACTATACAATAATACACATCAATTAAGACCACTGTAACCATGCATGATGAAAACTCGTGTTTGGCTAAAGTAATTGTCGGAAAAGTTTTGCTTCCCAAAAATGATTTAGTTGATTGAGGTTTGCTAACATATTACATATAAGGATTTGTTTTTCTCTTTATAGGTTAAAAAATTTCACTAACCACTAAGATCAATTGGTTGGGAATAGGCCATCTGCAAAAATGTAGTCCAGTTTGGGTAGGGGGTGTTGGGTTTGTTTGTGGATTTGGTAAGTTCACATGTAATGCGTAGAAATATTAGTAGGTTTGGTTTGAGTAGTTGACCCGTCCACAACTTTTTGGGAAATGGATCCTCTCTTATATATTTTTTTAAAAAATTACTATTAAAAACTTCAATTTACAAAAATTAAAAATAGATGTAATAAATGACACCCTGGTGCCCGTGACTTCCGCCTACCACGCCGCTCAACTCTACCGGCTGCCCCCGGTCATATTGTCCTCCGTTCCCGGTCATTGATTCTCTCTTCTTTGACCTCACTTCTCTATTCTCACATTCCTCTACACACGCTCTCTTCCCATGCGCGTGCTACCATTTTCCATTGGAAAAGAAAGGAAAATTAGAAACTTTTTCAATCCGCATTCTTTTCATTTAAAAATGTAAAAAGATATTGTCATTTAAAAATATAAAAATATATTTTAAAAGTATAAAAATATGTATAAAATAAATTAAATAAAGCCCGGGTTAACATTTAATGAAAATTATATAAGTTCACAAGTTTCAATAAGATCATATCAACAATAAAATAATAAGAGACTGCTCGAGAGGGATTGCTGACAGATTCGGAAAGATACCGACACCATTTGACTGAGAATCTTATATATGATTTATGTAAGACGGGAGTTAAAACAACAATACATGCATTGAGTGATTGCACATTTGCAAAACAATGTTGGCAGTGAGTCATCTCCCATAATTTACACGTTGATTTTTTCTCTATAAGTTTTAAACAGTGGTTGTATACTAATCTCATGAGACTTATAGCATAGGGACAATATGTTTGGGGTTATGTTGTGGCGCATCTGGCTAGGTCGCAATGCTCACATTTTCTCGTCAAAACCCTTCTCCGTTGATCCTAAGATAAAGAAAGTTGAGGACTTTGTTAGAAATATTAAATTAAGCTGCATCGGCGGCTGAGAAAAGAATAGGAAGCATCGGAATTGCTCGTGAAATTCGTACGATTAGGTGGTCTCTTCCGCCTAATGGTTGGGTGAAGATCAACTCAAATGGCTCTTTCAACAGCCATCTTGGCCGGATGCATTTGGACGGTAGTGTCAGGGTTTGTCATAAATACATGGTTTGTATCAATAACTGGTGCTAAATTATGGGGGCTTTTTCAATGTTTACAGTTGGCATGGCATTTAGGATATCGACAAGTTCTCGCCGCGGTGGATAATCTAAGTGTGGTGCAACAAAGATTTTGTTAGAATCCATGATAGTCTAGTTCGTGGAATTTGGAATCGCCTGAGATAGACTGGACAATGGAGATAAGATATCTTTCAAAAGGCAAATTTTGTAACTGATTACATGGTATCATTAGCTTCAGTTGGTCCGATGGGTGTGCCACGGATCTATAACCCGCCCCCCGAGTTGGAACCGTGGTTGGAGCACGATATTATTAGCATCTCCCATCTACGGAGTGTTTTAATTTAATTTCTGTCAGACTTTGCATTCTTCTTTGTAAAAAAATAATAAAATAAAAAATTGTTAAAACGTAAGTTATTTTTGCTTATCATGTTAGGCAAGTTGGTAATATATCATAATTAAATTCAGAATCTTGACACTATCCATAATTTAAAGTTAGGATTGGATTTGAAATAGTTAACAAATAGACTTGAGCTTTTTTTTGAAAAAAGAAAACGAAACAAATGAGATTTTTTTTTTTAAGGAGTATAATAATTTGGTTCAAGAATAACGTATACTGCACGCGCGAAAGAAGTAAGTAGGAGAAACAAAGGAAAGAAAGTAGCGCGTGTCCTCGTAAGACCGCACAAATTAATGTCCAAATTCGCACAACCTCACGCATCACCCATCTATCAAGATCAAATCCTCCCACCTGCCACCTCCCAGAAAACCAAAAAAAAAAAAAAACAGGAAGAAACATTTAAAAAAATCACACAAAACTCTCCCACATTAAATTTCAATTTCTTTAATCAGGAGATAATAAAGATTGAGGGAGATGGTGACAAATGTGGGTAATGACATTTTAGTCAGTCAGACTTTGATGTTGTTGATGTTGTTGTTGGTCTCGGTGGAAAACTGTGTATAATTTCTATGTTAAATCAGTCCAAGTCCCCACCTCACTTCAATCCCCTGTTTTCTTTCTCTTTAGTAAAAAGTCAGCTCTCTCTGTGTCATCATTTCAAACCAGTCCAACCAAATTTGTCTTCTGTACTTAAATTCATTTTTTTTATATATATTTATGTGTATAGATTTTTCTTCGAGATTTTATATTATCACAGTGAACTTTCCTCTTTCTGAGTTTTTTTTTTTTCTCCTTTCACTGAAATTGTCTCTTGCCCCTTCACTGTTTCTTTGATTTGAAACGTCCTCTTAGTTTCCCTGCAGCTCAATAAGCGGTGGGTTTCGTGTTTCCTTTTTCCTTTTTGCCTCTATGTCCATTAAATTCAAAGAAAACAAAAGGGGAAAAGGAAAAATCATTTCTTGGATGCTACAAAAAAAAAGGGGTTTGGTTTACTGTTGAGGATTGTGTTCACATTTCTTCACAGAGCCGGAGTGACTATTTTGGATGTTGCTTCGCTCTGAAGGGATGGGGCGTTGAAAAATCGAGTATTTTGGAAGGGGGAAAAAAGTGCGGTTATTTCAGGTTCTTTCCTCATTTCAGTGAGTATGTACGACTTTTGGGATTAAAAGTTTTGCTTGAAAATTTTCTGATCTGGGGATCTGAAACCCTCGAGTGATTTTCCTTATTGTAGCTGCTGCTGACTTTCTTGCTTCACCTTTAAGTTGATTTGGTTGCTTGTTTGTCTCTTAAACTTCTCTTCCTTCGTGGTTTTTGAGGTCTCTTTGGGATTGGGGTTTTGGTGATTCTCTTCATTTGGATATCAGTGGCAGCTCAGCTTTGTTGGGTGCTCTGTATCTACGTCTAGGGATTGATTTCTTTGTGGGGGACTATAGATATCAGTGCGGCAATTTGCTTGCTTGCTTCAATTGCAAGTTGTGGGTAGCTTGGTACCTTTTCCTGTGTATTAATCCCTGTTTTGTGGTTTCTTCATCCATTGCCAATTTTCTATTCAAATATTGTTCGCAACTGGAGATCTCAATTGGTCATAGAGAGTCTTATGTTGTTAGTGTCAAAGGCAATGCCGGGGCGGTCATGTAAGCTTGGATTATAGTTTGGTAAATCTCTTCTGGTTTTCTATAATGGTGGTCCAGAAAAGGGATTTCCTTTCATTGATTATAATGAATTGGATGCTTTTAGCTTCCATATTCTGTTCAATTTTGGTTCTCGGAGCCCAAAGCCAAACTTGCTATCCGGATGATCTTTCAGCATTGAAGGAATTTGCCGGCAATTTAAGAAATGGGTCCATGATCTCAGCATGGTCTAGTGATTCCAATTGCTGTAAGTGGGAAGGGGTTGTCTGTGATGATGGTGGCAGAGTGATCAAGCTAAATGTGTCAAGAAAAGGGCTGATAGGCAACATTTCAGAATCTTTGGGCAACTTGGCTCAGTTAGCAGTGCTTGATCTTTCTCACAATGATCTTTATGGGGAATTTCCTCCTAATGTCTCCAATTTGCAGCTGCTAGAAACACTTGATCTGAGTCATAACATGTTATCTGGTGCCGTGTTGGGATCTCTAGCCAAATTAACATCAATCAAGGCGCTGAATCTTTCTAGCAATTCATTTGATGGGGACCTCTCGGGCCTTGGTGAATTTCCCAATCTTGTTGAGTTGGTCATTAGCAATAACTCCTTTTCTGGAGGTTTGGACTCTCGACTCTGTAAGGTGTCCAACAATATCCAGTTCCTTGATTTGTCAATGAATAATTTCACTGGCAGCCTCGGAGGTTTGGATAATTGCAGCAGATCTCTTAGGCAGCTATCTCTTGATGATAATTCTTTTGAAGGCCCCCTTCCGGAGTCCATATATTCAATGCCTTATCTGGAGCAGCTCTCTCTTTCTTCCAATTTTTTGTCTGACCAGTTGAGCCCTCAGTTGAGTAAGCTTTCCAATCTCAAGTCCTTGGTTTTGACTGGAAACATGTTTTCTGGTCCTCTTCCTGATGTGTTTGCGAATTTAACAAATCTTGAGCAGCTTGTTGCTCATTCTAATTCGTTATCTGGGAAATTGCCTCCTAGTCTAGCACAATGCTCCAAGTTAAAAGTGCTTGATCTTCGAAATAATTCTTTTTCTGGTGTCATTGATCTTAATTTTACTGGATTGCCAAATCTTCGTACTCTTGATCTTGGTAGCAATCGCTTTCACGGACCCCTGCCGGACCTGTCTAATTCCCAGAAGCTGACAGTTCTGAGTCTTGCCAAGAATACCTTACAAGGGGAGGTACCTGAAAGTTACGCAAATTTGTCATCCCTTGTGTTTCTCTCATTGTCCAATAACAGCCTTGTAGGCTTATCTGGAGCATTGTCAATTCTGCAGAAATGCAGAAACCTTACCACTCTTATTCTCACCAAGAATTTCCATGGTGAAGAAATTCCAGGAAATGTGGGTGGTTTTGAGAGCTTGATGATTTTTGCACTTGGGAACTGTGGCCTGAATGGTCAAATCCCAAGTTGGTTAATGAATTGTAGCAAGTTGGAAGTTCTTGACCTGTCCTGGAATCATTTGAATGGAAGTATCCCTCCATGGATTGGGCAGATGGACAGATTGTTCTACTTGGATTTTTCGAATAATTCACTGACAGGAGAAATCCCAGAAAGTATAACCGAACTGCAGGGCCTCATTACCGCAAAAAACAGTATATCAAGCCTTAATCCATCCACTGGACTTCCTCTCTTTGTTAAGAGAAACCAGAGTTCTAGTGGTTTGCAGTACAATCAAGCTTCAAGCTTCCCGCCGTCAATTTATTTGAGTAACAATATGCTGAATGGAACAATTTCTCCTGATATTGGAAGACTCAAGCAACTCCATGTCCTGGACCTCAGCAAAAATAGTATCACCGGAACTATTCCTTCTTCCATTTCTGATATGTTAAACCTTGAGGTGCTGGATTTGTCGTTCAATGATTTCTATGGGTCCATTCCGTCATCATTTAATAAGCTGACATTTCTGTCAAAGTTCAGTGTGGCTAACAATCACTTGCAGGGAGCAATTCCAACAGGTGGTCAGTTTCTCAGTTTCCCTAGCTCAAGCTTTGAGGGTAATTCTGGACTTTGTGGGACACTGATCTCTCCTTGTGCTGTCAACAACATCGGGATGCAGCCTGCTAGTCCTACCTCTTCAAAGAAAAAGTTTGGTCGGAACAGTATTCTTGGAGTGACGATAAGCATCGGGGTGGGCGTTGCAATCATCCTTGCATTTGTTCTACTCAAGTTGTCAAGGAGGGATATGAGGAATTCAATTGAAGACCTGGAGGACGAAATGAGCCGACCAAACAGACTGTCTGATGCATTTGGGCCTTCAAAGTTGGTGCTTTTCCAGAACTCTGAATGCAAGGATCTCACTGTGACTGACATCCTTAAGTCAACAAACAACTTCAGTCAGTCAAATATTGTTGGTTGTGGAGGATTTGGTCTTGTTTACAAGGCCGACCTGCCTAATGGCAAGAAAGCAGCTATAAAGAGACTTTCTGGTGATTGTGGACAGATAGAACGTGAGTTTCAAGCAGAAGTGGAAGCACTTTCCAGAGCTCAGCACAAAAACCTGGTTTCTCTTCAAGGGTATTGCAGGCATGGAAATGATCGGCTTCTGATATACTCCTACATGGAGAATGGAAGCTTGGATTATTGGTTGCATGAAAGGATTGACGGCAGTTCCGCCCTTAGATGGGAAACAAGGCTAAAGATTGCCCAGGGAGCAGCTCATGGACTAGCTTATCTGCACAAGGAGCCAAATATAGTTCACCGGGACATCAAAACCAGCAACATTCTTTTGGATGACAGATTTGAAGCTCACTTAGCTGACTTTGGTCTCTCACGGTTACTCCATCCGTATGATACACATGTCACTACTGATCTTGTTGGTACCCTGGGGTACATTCCACCGGAATACAGCCAGACATTGACAGCAACTTTTCGGGGGGATGTTTACAGTTTCGGCGTGGTTCTTCTGGAGCTTCTCACGGGAAGAAGACCAGTTGAAGTTTGCAAAGGAAAAAATTGCAGAGACTTGGTGGCGTGGGTGTTTCAGATGAAAACTGAGAAGAGGGAAGAGGAGATATTCGACGCGTCGATATGGGACAAAGACTATGAAAAGCAGCTGTTAGAGGTTCTAGCAATAGCTTGTAAATGTATAGAACAAGAGCCTAGACGCAGACCATCAATTGACCAAGTCGTGTCATGGCTTGATGCAATTGAGATTGGTAGAGCTAGGAAATAAACTTGATCTAATTTCTTGCTAGTCTTGAAGAGTTTTCTTGACTTTTTCTTTATATACATCCCTAAAGGACAATTATATATATATAGTGGATTTAATCAGCTCTTCTGGAGTAGCTTTGCTTTAACCTTACCTAACATTTTATTTTTTTTTTTGGTTTTTTTTCTGTGCACTAGTTCTTCTGAATGATTAAATAAAAGATGCTGGAAGTGGGTTGAGGAATGTAAGGTGAAATGCCTCATTAATAAGTAATAACACTAATGTGTCCTAAAAGAGTTTTTACTAGTTGATGGTTGAATTGAACCCGAAAGAATTGAAGACTTTTTCACCAGGCAATGCAAACCATGAGTCATGTTCCTACATTTTTTTTTTAAAAAAAGTTGGGATGTTCTAAAACCCTTTCAAAGAGTGTTTACGTGCTAATTGATGCATATCTTGTAATGGTATAAAGTGCAGCACGAATACACGATTGTGTAATATTCCATGTGTTTTAAAATTATTGTACAGTTTGGATTTTTATTTCTAGTATAAAAAGAACTAAAAATGAATATTTAAATTGCATAATAATTTTGGGACAGAGGAACATTGGTGTCTCTGTTCTCCTCCTCTAGCAACATGATCATTGGCTGTAAAAAAAAAAAAAGAAGAAGAAGCAACATGATCATTCGAGCAAAACAAGATGTTGAAGGCAATTTTTTTTTTTTTTTTTTTGTATATCTCATTCACTTGAAGAGAGAGACAGATAGAAAGGGGCAACAAAAGGCGCATTCATTCGCTCACATAAGAATCACGCCTTTCGCTCACTGAATCCTAGACGTCAATCAGATTCGCAAATAAAATCGGCGACCACACTTCTCGGAGCCGGAAACGTTGCACTAAGATGTGCTCCCTTCTTTCAACACGTAGTGCACACGTGTCGTTCACTCCATCAATCTCTTAACCTCTTCAACTCTCTCATTCGACATAACCTAGCATCATCAAACTACATGCATATATATGATGTAACTGACATTAAAAAAGCAGATAGAACTTCAAACTAATTCCAATAAGAAGAGTAAGAAGATCAGTAGGAGGATTTCGTGTCATTTGTCGCAATATCACGATGAGTAGCAGAAGAGCAATATTGGTGATTCCAAATCCACTTAATTTGGCAACCCATTCCCCTGTTTACGCATTAAACAGGGTGTTTATAAGCTCGCGTCAATTGTCACAGCGTCCTGAAGGAAGTCCGAGTAACTGGACCGACGATATCCGGGCTGGACCCGGAGGTACTCCGACGACGACGGCGGCCGGAAAGATCACTCCGGATCAGCATGTACGAGTTATAAACCGTCATGATAATAATCCCGACTACCGTGAGGAAGAAGACGGGATGGAAAGGGCTAAAGAGCGGACGAGGGACGCGGCACATGTTCTCAGCGACTTGGCTAAAGAAGGGACCGCCAAGGCCATCGAATCGGGTCTGGAATTGGGCGAAATTGCTAAGAAGACTATGGATGTAGCCTGGGATGCTGCTAAGGATACTGCAAATAACCTCAAAGATGCAATCACCGGAGACGATGAACGTCGCGATCATCGTCATCGTAACCGGGTGAATAGGAATGGAAACGAATCGGGTCAGGGTGACGATGCTAGATTCAAGAAACCTGCCGCTGGCGGTTACCATTAGCCTGGAGTTTAACGGAACAAGTGCTTTGTTTTTGTGTTTTCTCTCTTTAAATTTCTTGTTTGACTCCAGGTTCGATATAATTGTAAGTGTTTAATTGTTGTAGTTCATTGCTTCATTTCGACCGGCCGCGTTTTTTATTTTTGCCCACTAATTAATAAAACCTTTTTGTTTTTCGGAAATTCTACTAATTTTTCTGGTTCCATCCATTAGTGTCAATCGGATAAAATAAGACCAAATTCAAACTGGATTTGAACGATAAAGGTAAATTCTATTCTACTAATTGATTAGGGACTAGATCCTACTACGAGTGGGGAGACGATCCGGCTGCCTCAGCTGAATAACCTTAATTCTACGATTCATCTTGGAATTTTATCTTCGCCCACTGATGCCATCTTTTCGTTATTCACTAAGAATTGGAAGTTTCTTAGTATCTTTGGAGGACCAACGACCTGTGTCTAATCTTAATGTTTCCGAACTCAGTCGCATAAGTATCGAGAACAACTAGAAATCCTGATTTACACTTTCGATTTCTTTACAAAGACTTGGGAACAAAGGACAAGTTTGAATGGCGGGGCAGTTTTATTTATTTATTTGTTTTTTTTTTTTTGGGCGATTGTTACGCCTTGTACAGCAGCCAATTAGGTGCATCTGTTGATGATTATGATGATGATGTTGGATCAACAAATAGCAACAAATGGTATTTCACACTCCAGAATGATCAGACCTTGTTTTCCTAATAGTGTTGAGGATGAAAGAATAACGCTACATTTACTCTGTCCAACCAAAAATGTAAAAGAAAGAACCTTTGGTTTCTCGGTGGATTCTGCCTCGGGATACATCCTGGTCCCTGGATCCCCCTAAAAACAGAACACGGAAGAGAATGGCAGCGGCTTCTTCGGAAAACTGCACGAGAAATAGGATGGTGATGCGGAAAAATGGATCCGAAAGAGTTGCAAAAGATGAAATGATGTTCTCCTATGAACTACCGCCGGAGATGGTTTGATTTCGGAAAACCTATCTTTTGTCGATATCACATTCATTTTGGCCGTGTTAGTAAAGTGTTTGCCTCCGGAAATATACCATTGAGGATGAAACCTTATCCTCTAAGCTTGGTATACAAAGATAGGTCCAAATGTGCCTGCAACATCGTAGACTCTAACTTAATCGGAAACTCTCCTTCAAATTCCTAATGCGAACTGGAATAGAGCAGAATTGTTCAACTGTGTATAAAGAAAGAAAAATAGTACAGCAGGGGAAAAAGATCCCAGTAATTAATTCTTTAGTGTTGTTGATTTTTGTTGATGTCTACCTAATTGTGATCGAATGGTAGCGACTCATCCATTCCATATTTAAATCGAAAAAGCATTCATTTGAGGAACAAGCTATGAAGTTTTCAAATACATTGCGTAATTCTTAGACACCCAGCAAGTGTATGAATTTGGAGAATTGGACGAACCAAAATCCAGCTAACGAGGTTTCATTTCATCATCTGTAGCTATATCTATGGACTATAAATGATCAACCGAACATTCTCAAAAATTGGGCTGGATAATTCCCTTACCTGGGCAAGTTGAGGATCAGGATAAACCCAAACTGGGATTAGATTTGTATGCCTTGTTTCCAGCCAAGAATCAAATTTGTTGGGTTTAGATTTTTGGGTCAGTTATGGGTGTTGCAATTTGAAGCAGCTCTTGGTATTACTCACCGTATGCTATCATTCAGTTTTTTTTTTTTTGAAAACCGCTATCATTCAGTTTAGCTTAAGTAAAATAGCCTGTTGGTGGTAGCCTTAATTGTCTAAATTGGTAGTCTGTTAGCCATGTAGCAACCTTAAATACTTTGACCAGCTGTCTCACCCATCGAGGTGCCTACAATTCAGCAAAGGGGATTACTCACTGTTGCTGACCGTTGACACCTGCAAATATGAAAAAAAAAAAAAATGTTTCAAATCTATGCTGATTGTTTATAGATAAACATAACTTGAGATAGAATCTGGGAAAAATGGACATTGTTGCTGAAAAATGAAACTGAATCTCTCTACTGGAGACATTTGGGCCATTTGGCAATTTAGCTTGTTAGAAAACGAAGTCAATAACTAAGAAGGTGCATGGTTCAAAGATTGGTATGGGTTTGGAAATGGAATTGATAGAGCGAAGGATTGAATTCCAAGACTATCAAACCTCTAATCTCATTTTTAAGTGATTGGTTTAATTTGGGATTGATGCAAAATTATATTTTTATCCTTTATCCCTAATAAAACCAAATCCCCAAATTAGCTGCTTACCCAAATCTCTACGCCACCCGTTTCTTTTTTTCCACCACCCAAAAAAACTTGCAGTAAATCCAAATAGGACATGGTCTAGAAAACCCAAATTACAACCTCAAATTCTCTGCCGCCCATCACTCTCTTTCTACCCAGAAAAAACTGCAGTGAATTCAAATCAAACACGGGTCAAGAAAGTCTAAATTACCACTTCAAAAATTCTTTATTTTTTTGGGTTTTCTTGGCACTAATCAATCCCGCTGATTTTTTGCTAATTTGAAGAACGATTTTCGGATTAAACTTATGAGACATAGTCAATCTTCTGGAGAAGACAATGGTGGCAGCAATACTTGAAAAAAAAAACCCCAACTGATAAAAGTGATGGCAACAATATCTCCAGTAAGAAGATTGATATAGTGGATGCGTGATGGTGGAGAAAATCTTCTATAGAATAAGGGAAGAGAAGGGTAGATAGATGGAACTTTTTTTTTTTCAAGCCCATGGAGTCATACCCCTCACTTCAATTGGGAATGTGAGAGGACTTGATTTTTGGGTTTGAAAGAATTCTACGTGGGACCCCAACTCTTACCAAGCAAGTGAATTGGGAATCAGACCCATAGAAGGGATTTGATATCCTCCAACCAGGCACCTCCTAAAGTTGTATACAGCCTATACAACTTCTCTTAAAATTCTTTTACTGTGACCTTTTTTCTTTTCTTTTCTTTTTTTTGAAACGGTTACAGTGACTCTGTGAGTAAAACATTTTATCAAGTACCTTAAGGCTCCGTTTAGTTGGAATGAATTGGAATTGAATTATAATTACAATTCAAAAGAATTGAAAATGAGATATTGAGATTATAATTTAATCTCAATTCCTTTATTTGGGAGATCTTAAGAATTGATTAGAATTAATGTTTTAATACTAATTCTTGTGTTTGGATGCTTCAAATTTTGTATATTTTAGAATTGAAATCAGTTTGTTATTATAAAACTAATAATTTAATTTTGGAGTACAATTTATACTTCATGTCAAAAATTAAAAAAAAAAAACTTAATTTCCTATGTCAAAATGATTTATTATGGATATGTATATATATATAAAAAAAATTATTGTGTACATGTATATTAGATTACTTTTTTGCTGTTTAACTAGTACAATTTTTAATTTTTTTAAGTTTTTTATTTAATTTGCTATATCATTTTGTGGTTTTATGTACACACATTTTTGTAAGACACAAAAGAAATATTATTACGTAAGAATTTTTAATATGATATGTAGAATTCCCACATAACACACAAACAAGTAACATGTAAAATATTATTTTCCTCTCTTTTATTATTTTTCAAAATTTTTTAATTTTTTATTTATTGTTTTTTCCCTATGTTTAGTAAAAATTTTTGGATATGATATAAATTCAGTTTCTGAATATTAATGTTCATTTATATCTGTATTGACATTATTTTATAAAATATACTTAAAATCTTTTATTTTTAGTATATAATTATATATGAAATATTATATACTTCAAATTCAACATGATTTTTTATGAAAAGAGGCCATGTATTTTTTAAAGTTTATATATATATATATATAGATACACATACATTATAATATCGGTGTACATAACAATTATAATTTTTTTTAAAAAAAAATTATGTTGTTTATTATTGTGTCTTAATATAACAAAAAAAAATTAACCCAAAACTAAAATATTTATTTATTATTTTTTTTGTACAGTTATACTTTTGATATTTTTGTCAAAAAGATATAATGTTAATTTTAGATTGATTTACTCGATGATGATCAAATTGAGCCGAAAAAAAGAAAAACATAAAGAAAAGAAAGACCACCGGGGCTAAAAGCAAAAAAAAAACAAAAAGGAGAGGGCGACCCGTTTAAGTTATAACTCAGAAACGACTAGGTATAGATCCGCGAGTTTTTTAAAGCTCCTTGAATTTGAATTTCAATTATTTATTCCCACAAAAGAATTGAAAACAAAGAATTGAACCCCAAAAAGTATTATAATTTCAATTCCTCCAATTTTTATCAACTAAACACAAGAATTAGAATTAAAGAGGTCCAATTCTAATTCTTGGTCCCATTTCAATGCAACCAAATAGAGCCTAAAATATATTAAATACAAGTGGCAAGATTTATTGATTGGAGAACCTAGAGACCAGAGAAATGAACCCAATTCATAAAGAAAATGCCTTTCACAACAAAATGAACAATTCACGAAGTAAATTGATGTTTGATGACTGATATTGAATTACACAATGACTATTTTCAGATAATGTTGCTTCAAATCACAATATGCTTTTTTATTTTTTTTCAACATTCCTTTATGATCTCGTCACACGATCCACCTGATTGATGATATATTGGGAGAGAAGAAAATAAGAATTTTAAGAATATAAAACAAAGAGAGAAGAATGGGAATAATATTTGAAGACTATATTGTGATTAGCTTAATTACAAAATAAAGAGTAGATACCATTTATAGACATGTCTACATTATTGGATGAAAACTACTCTTTGATTATTAAAATTATTTTTGATAATTAATAAATAAGTCTATCATAGTAATCCCTATCACTAAAATAGATTCTAACTCTAGTACTCTTGATCATTATCTTTAATAGGGAGAAACATTTTTTTTAGTAACACTTAAAATGCTGTCATCTAAACTAAATTCAAGTTAGACAAACTAGTTTATCAAAAACCAGAATATCAAAGACATTTTCACCAGAGTGAATCCACTTTGACCTTCGAACCAGTTTCCTGAGATCAGGATAGTTTTCTACAGCATTAACCAGCTGCTCACATAATTTGTTATTCTGACAGAGATCTGATACGTATGACTAGTTCACTTAGTTAAATTTGTAAGTATTCTAGGGTCATTTCTAGTGGATCATAAAATCATGTTGCGGAATCAATTTAGCTACTTATCTTCCAGTCCAGAGTCTTCTGAATGCTAAAAGTCCAAACTTTGAAGCAAAAAATACAGGTTCCCGTTTTCATTAGCATTTATATAATGTCAGAGCAACAATCCTAACAGACAGGGGCGGAACCTTAAGGGGCTCGGGGGTCGGAGCCCCCCGGTTGGCCAGAGAGCCCCTTAGGGGCACTTATTGCTGAGCTTCGTCACTGTATGTCAGCCAGTATTTGTAGGATCGTGATCCTAAATAGGATCGAAATGGGGTCATAGGATCGGATCGTAAACGGGATCGGTAGGATCGGAATAGTAAGATCGTAAAATTAATTATACATGTTATATAATTAATTACTTTGATAATTAAGTTTCAATTATCTTTACATAAAGAATTTAAAATTTAAACAAAAATAATTGTGTAAATTCAATTTTCTTATATGAATTTTTTCATAACTTTTTAATAAAAACTCTTCTCTTATAGTTCTTCTTTTCATTTTATTAGAAAAATTTTCTAAAATACATTTTTCTTAGCAATAAAAGTTTTCTCAAGGAATATTAGCCTCAATTGAATGTGAACCAAAAGGAGTAAGAGAAAAGAAAAATCTCAATAAACTCAATTAATTTTTTGTAATTGATGAATAGTAAACTCAGACCGATCCTACGATCTTGACCGATCCTGACCATTCCCACTGCAAAATTCGAATTTGATCGATCCAGAATCGATTTGGGTATACGATCCTGGATCGCGAATTTGCAAACTATGATGCCAGCTCCTCCGATTCTGAAAAAAGAAGGGGACTTAAGGAAGAAGATGAACAGTGTACCCCTTTATTATAACCTGATTAAAACAAAATTCTGTTAATATTTAGTTGTAGCCCAGCCCGTTTATGTTTTAGTTTCATATAACTATCAACTCCAGTCCAGCCCAAGTTTCCTTCCTTTTAGTTTTCTAAAACCCCAGGCCTTACAGCCCACTACTTGACTAGTAAGCAGCCCAGACTCTTTCTTTCTTTTTCCAAACTCCCCTTTTTCTTTTCTTTTTTTTTTTTTGTGTAATATACCTAACTGTTTCTTTCTTATTACTAATTCATAAAAAATAAAAAATGCCAACACTTTAACTAAAAAATCTCCAAATTCTACTTGCAAAATAATCTTAACCTTAGCTTCCTCCAATGAAGGAAGCCAACTCCAGCTTTGATTACAAGTTTCGACTGTTAAATAGCAAGCCTTCCAAATATGAAAGGCCGGTTCCGCCACTGTTAACAGATGAGCAAAAACAATACAGAAGGAGAATTATGTGCATCAAACTTTCACGTGTAAGAAAATACTCAACAATTTTTCGTTGTTAAGTACTCTCTAGTTTCCCATTAAAAAAAAAAACAAGTGAAACTTGCTTATCTTAGAATAAAATGAAACGTCCAATGAGTATTGTTATTACCACGGGGTGGAAAGCTTTAAATTTAATTGGACTACCTAATTTTAAGAAATATATTACGTTTAATATGAATTGGTAGAAGAAGTACACAAGACATTGAATAGGCAACAGCACATGAATTTCGTTTGACAGAAAGTGAACACTCTCAACATATTGAAAGTTGGTGGCCGTTGATTCATAGTATTCATAAATTTTGATGGCGATGGAATTAGCAAAAGTCTCTCTAGTTTCCTTTATCAAACGAACAGGGTTCTTTAATCTTTGGTCTGATGAATTGATATGCAACTGTTTGGGTTTGATCTCTTGTGCAAGGGATTCCTTTTTAAAAGCACCAGGTACATATTCATTTTTTGTAGGCCAGAAGTTGTCTAGCTGGTTTATGCATAGTGAGGACAAATTATTGGACTCGAAGATGAAAAATGGGACACAAAGTAATAAATGGACGAAGATATTTGATAGATTAGAGTAGAGCTGAACCCAAAGGTGGAGTTGCTTTGCACTGGGGACCAATTATTTGTCCTTCTCACACATCAACTTTTTATTAGATTGTTTCATGGTATTTACAAAGATGAGAGCTATAAGTTGTTGCTAATCAGGTCGTGTAATTGTGTTCTTATTAAAGGTCTTGACACGTGTATAATTTTTATGATTAGGATTTAGGACCATTAAATGTGTTATTTTTAAAGGGTTTAGAGTTTTGGTGTCACAAAACTCTTGGAGATTGATGCTAATCAGGTCTTGACATTTGAGGAGTGAACGTCTTCATTTTGACTGTATTATTAAAGGTCGTGTAATCGTGTTCTTATTAAAGGTCTTGACATTTGAGGAGTGAACGTCTTTATATTGATTGTATTATTGGTAATTTCGCACGACCAAATTAAAATGTTATATTGTGTTAGTGTAAGTGTATAATTCTTATGATTAGGATTTAGGACCATTAAATGTGTTATTTTTAAAGGGTTTAGAGTTTTGGTGTCACACAACTCTCGGAGTTTTGATTACCATGAACAAACCTTTTCATTCCAAGGCATGCGTTTGCTCTTTTCGATTAGTGTCCTTTCTTATGTCGGTTGCTATCACGCATACACACCGACACAAAGGCCCGCCAATGTACCCAATACAGTAATATTAACAAAAAAATTTAGAGGAATCACGTCAAGTTTGCGGACCAAACTAACCTCATCTACGTACGATCCAGAGATTCCTTGTTACAGATTTAAGGAAATAAGACACAGGGAAACTGATTCGGAATCAAACAGTATGATCAGAGCCCGAACAAGTTTACAACATGATTGATGAAGAACCTGATTTGAAGGGTTAGATTTTGTTGTGAACCCACATGCGTTATCAATCAGGAGTTCCAATTTTGTGGTGGAAATATGTACATTTCATAGTTTGCTTTGGTTGAAGGGCACTTTGATCTTTTCATGGGACAAATAGTTAGTAAAGGCGGCACGCTATTCACTTCCGCTACTAATAAAGCAATAGTACGGTTGAGAAGAGGAAACATTATATCAAGAACAAACTGTACGTATAATGATAAACCTGATAATCTTGACAGTAAAAAAATCATAATGATGAACAATATTGCGAGTCATTGAACGATACACCAAACATTGAAGTATTATTACCATCGTCTCTATCATTATTCAATCGGTTTTATCTTCCATAATACTCACAATTTATATGCAGCAAACGCGGCAAACCCAATCGTAATAGAACAAAAACAAAAGTCTTCGGGGCCTAACATACCGAATGATACGTCCCCAAGTCAATGAGTCAATGGACTCCACCTAGTACTCCAATCATTGAGCGTGAATAAACAACAAGCCAATACGAGAATCTGTATTCCTTAATACGCTATTTTAATTAATTAATCAAACTTACCTTAAACAACACAAGTTTGCAACTACTAACAACTAAAGTTCAACAAAGATAACCACTTTTTAGCCTTAATTAAGCATTACGCCAAAATCTAAACCAGAGTCTCAATTAATTTACAAGCATTTTTTTCCATTTCTTTATCCAAAAATCACACGGACACATATAAATATATATATATATATACAAAAAAAGAAAAACACACAGTCACACAGTGACGAGATCAAAAGGACATGCACACACAAACAAGAAAACGGAAAGAGGGAGAGAGCTAAGTAGTTGTGGTCCTCACAACCTTAAAGCTCTGCTCATAATGTTGTACTGCTAAATAGCTTTTGAAGTCTTTTGTCTCGGCATGGTTTCTGTTTCATTCATTACTCTGTTTCTTTTTCAAATCGACACTTTATGATTTATATCCATCTTTCTGCTTTATTTTTTTTGTAAATTGATCATCATCCCCCTCGATTGATTGGAGAAAGAAAAAAAATGAACCCTTCAACTGATCACATGCATCATCACGGTAGGTCATCGTCAACATTGAGTCTCAAGTTTGCTGGAAACAGCAAACTCAAGGAGGAAGCAGAGGAAGAGGACATGGGAGAGGAAGAGGAGGAAGAGGAAGAAGAAGAAGAAGAGGGATTTGAGGAGAATGAAGTAGAAACTGAAGACGAAGAAGATGATGAATTTGCGGAAGTTGTGAGAATTAAGGAAGAGGGTCGAGAAATTGATGAGGAAATGGTTCAGCTGAAGAAAAAAAGAATTGATCTTGATGGTGGGATATTCTCTCCTGGAAACAAGAAGTCAACAGTTCCTTCTTCTGCTGCCGGTGGTGGCAGTAGCGGCGGCGGTGTACCACCGCTTATCTGTAAGGTGGAGAAGTGCGGAGCTGATCTCACTGACTGCAAAAAGTATCACAAGAGGCATAGGGTCTGTGAGCATCATGCCAAGGCTCAAGTAGCTATTGTTGATGGCCTGAGACAGAGATTCTGTCAGCAATGCAGCAGGTTATTTTCCGAGCTATTATCATCACAATTACTCTTTTTTTTTAAAAAAAAATTTCTTGCTAGTATAAGTTTTTGTTTTTGTGTCTCTTTGGGCTTATAACAGAAGATATGGATGAAAATTTCCCACTTTTTTTAGTATACTAAAAGTATCTCTTTGATAATTTGGGAAGTTTGGTTTGCTTGTGCGCTACTTCTTTGCTACTTTTCAATCTCCTCTGTTTTAGCATTTTCTGAGACAACTGTAGGTCTTCCAAAAGGCGATTTTATGGTCCTCGCTGTGGGATTTCGGAGACAATGTGCATTATAGAACTTAATATTGTTTTAAATAATGATTCCCTGTCCGTAAACACCATGTTTTGAAATGATTCAGACATTGTAATTCTTAAATATCAGAGTCAACTTTACCACAGGGCAAATCAGATAATGGCTAATGCACCTTCTTGTGATCAACTCTTATCTTGTTTTAAAATTTTGAGGATCATTAGCTCTATTTATGTTGGCTTATCCAGGTTCCATGAGCTGCCAGAGTTTGATGATACAAAAAGAAGCTGCCGGAGGCGTCTCGAGGGACACAATGCGCGACGCCGCAAGAGCTCCATGGAGTCTCGGGGAGAGGGGTTAACCCACGGAGGATCTGGACTTGCAGCCAAGAATGATCAATGCAGGCTAGTCCAGGAAAGAGGCCGAGGCCAGATGGTTTTTCCCAAGAATCACCGTAACCTCCATATCCATTCCTGATTCTCCAGTAGTTGCTTACTCTCTTCTGTCATCGTCTGGCGTATTTGCTGCCCGCATTAAGGATGCCTAGGCCTAGTTAGTTTGCAAGTTTAAGAGATTCTTGATGATCTTCTCAGCTCGTCTCTTCTAAGAACTGTAATATTGTGTGATCTTTTAGTCTCCTTGAGTCTCTTTTCCTAGCAGTTAATGTAAGACTATTTCGGTTTGATTGCTTTAGTCCCCTTGAGCGTTTCTAGTTATTTTGGATCTTATCTCTCCTTTCCCCTTTCTAATAATACACCACTCTTCCTCCTGAATTAACTTAAGCTGATCATCACTGAGCCCAATGATGAGAAAAATCTCATAACTAATTCGAAAACTTTATTTCAATAGTCTATACTTGCAGAACATACAACGTGTAGTGTAAGGCTGCTGTCTGCATTTATTTATTATTTATATATACAACATCGGGTGGGAGCTGTTCAACTTCAACATGTTCTTTTGAAGATAAAGAGATTCCAAGTACTACCTTACAAAAACAAATTACACGCCTAAACAACTAAGAACTTGCTGCATTTTATCGAAAAACAACCTACCAAAATTAGGGTAAATCACGCAAGCTAGATCATTTGAACTTTATCACCACACATGAGATGTCATCACTGCTATGCCTAGCAATGGCTTCCTCATTAAGGCGCTTTGCTGCAGACTTGGCATCCTTTTCACCTTTAATGCAGTCCACGGCCTCTTGATTGGACATTACCTGTAACCAAAGTAGTAGGTGATATCGTGATCTTAAATGCCAAGCAGTTCTCTAAATTTAAATGAAGTAAAACATCCTTGAACCAGGATTGTTAGAAGAGAATTCCTCCAGGAGCTCCAAGGAGCACAAATGATACCGATCATCTTTTTTTGTCTATTGTTCAAAATTCCACATAACAATGAGTCCAGGTTTCACGACATGCTGAATGTGGAAAGAAATATACTAACTGCTTAACTGCTTGGCCTGACTTAACTTTCGTAGAACCATAATTATCAAACCAGAAATATACTAATGAGTCAATATATGCCAACCCAAGAGTTGTAAACAATCATGGCAGTCACTGGAAAGAGAATTTAATAGAAGGTATCCATGAATTGTAAATAAAATGAAAAACTCGAGTAGCCAACCTTCCATATACCATCACTAGCCAAGATGACAAAGTCTGTGTCATCATCTATGTCCTCCACAACAACATGCGGGTCAGAACTAAGATGCCGCTTCAAACTCTTATCACCAAATGCTCTAGCTACTGCTAGCTGTCCATCAACTCGTGCGACATCACCTGAGTGGATAGAAAAGCAATTGAAGAGCATAAATTCCTTCGCCACACCAAGTCCATATTCATTCAGGAGTTGCTATATGTGAGAAATCCAACAATTGTCAAAATGTAGTAAAGAAGATAATGGCAACCGAGAGTAGATTTTCTTTTAGATCATGCAGGGAGAAAAATCATTCCATTCCATTCAAAGTTTACCGAAGCTTAAGTTTTAACCAAGAATGATAAAGAATGTGACTGATGAACATCTACACCAGGATCTCAAATCAGTTCCTCATGCAGAATTTTTACCTGGAAAATTAGAGACAAATCCACCACGATTCTCAATCTCTTCTTTTTCTTTACTAGGTTCATGGTCAACTGATAATTGCGTTGCTACACCGTTCTTGCAGATGACAGCTCGAGAATCCCCAACATTTGCTACAATAAGCTTTTGACAATTAATCAATATAGCCGTGACGGCAGTTGAACCACCTTTTCCCAAATCCACAGCTTTCTCCAGTATCTTGGCATCCGTGACTTGATATGCTCTTCGAATAGCACTTTCGGGTTCAGTCCAGAAATCGGGCTGATTTGCATAAAGAGTGACCACATTATAAACATCCATCTCAAAACTAGCATTAAAAAAAAAAGGTGAATAGTCTACCATACCTCATTCAAAATGTTGTCAAATAAATGAGACCTCAAGTAATCAGGAATTTCCTGACTCAGATGCCCATCAAATATGGCGAACAAGCCAAGTTCATTGTCATCAACTTCCTTAAATTGCGCGAAAGCATAATCTTCCATTGCGTGATGAGCCTTCCCCACTATTGTGTGATACCCATGAGTTACATGTTTGTCAATTTTACTCTTCCCTTTTCCAGTTTCAGAGGAAGATGGAACCATACATACCTTTTCCTGTTAAAAACCAAACTCTATTCAGTCCCCAAGCAATTAATCCAAGAACTATACAGACAAATACATCTACAAGTGTGTTCTTACAGAAACCATTGTGCAGTTTTCGAACAAACAACCAGAGGAGAAGCATATAAAATGGCCTCCAATCGTTTGACTGATACTACTATTATCCATGCAACAATGACTTGCTCAAGAATAGTTACGAAAAGACAATTTTACAGTCAACAAAAGTCAACATGAACAATTTTCGATGATCTACATAACGAATAATGCGTGTAAGCATAGAACAAGAAGATCAAATCTTTTCACAATAAGCACTTCCCCTTCAATCTTCTTCAGTTAAAGTGTTGAACATGTAAATCTTTTCTTCTTCATAAGCCAATTACTAATTATGAGAGATGCACATAATCAAATAAACCAATTTCCAAATCAACATTCATCAGCATGTTGAAGCATGTCCATTAATATGAATCCCGGAAAAATATCATAATGCATGAGTCACCCAAAAAAAAAAGAAAAAGAAAAATGTAAACCATGAGAATTAATAAAGCAAGATCCGAAAAGTTTTACGTGGGCTTCATTCATTTCCAACAACAACGATTCATATACATATATATATATATATATATGAATGGATTCTGGAACTAAAAAATTTACTTACCTTCACTTTATGCAGGATTTCTTTGCCAGCCATTTCCTGGGAATCAATTTAGAACCGGAATCTTATAAAAGAAATAGTGATTGTAGAAAAAATAGTAAAGAAAACAAAGTTAGATTATGAGAAAGGATGAACAAAAATGTAATTGAATTTTGAAGGAAGAGATCGAAAGAGAAAGATGGAAAACTAAGGAAAGAACAAGTGTCGAGAGTAAAGCGTTAAGCAGTTGACACGATTACTAATCAATAGTTACGTGTCAGCGCCTCTTATTTCTCGTGTTTTTTGTTTCTTTCATTTTCTTTTCGTACCTCTACGTGGTCTTTTCGTCCCATAACAAACTCCTTATCTTTAGGGGTTTCCCCTTTTTTTGCCTTTCTAAAGACTAGTACCACTCCTGTACCGTGTGTTATTTAGGGCAAACTACTTTAGAGTATGGAGAAGAAGATGATTTTCTGACAATTGGGTGTATTTGAGCCATCTATCACGAAACGAGCTTCCTTTTCTGGTTACACTCTTATTCATTCGTCACATCATATTACCCTCTATATGAATACCAAAGAAACCATCCATACATTTCAGCAAGAATGGTTATCACCTATGGTGAAACGAGAAAAATAGATGTTGTTGTCAATAAAAATATTTTTATCTGAAAAAATAGTCTATCAATTAAATTTAAAGTTTTAGTTGCGGTACGGATTAAGAAAGATACAAAAGAGTAATTATTCTCAAGACAATGAGATACGAAAATATAGAAAAAAGTATTATTAAATGAATGAAAAAAAAAAAAATTTGGCCTCATGTTCCCTTGTCCCACATGGATGGAAGGAAACACGTGAATTCAACATCTATGAAAGAAAGAAAATGACCTAATGTTTTTTTGTCTCACATAGATGAAAGGAAACACTTGAACCCAACATATATACTCCATTTGCTACTCCCTCATCATCAATTGGTTTTGAGCTGCAACCACATGTGGGCTTATATTTGGGCCTTCAAGAAGTATAAGAAATATTTATGTTAGATTAAAGAGAGTGATGTGACTAACAAAGATTCATAGTCCAAACTAAAGCGATAGTTATAAGATTATGTAGAGTTTGATGATGAGCCAAGCATCGAAGAATTGCAACCTGATTATTGTAAGTTTATACAGAAAGAAACTTGTGAATATTAGGCTCAATTTAGTTAGAATTGTAAATATAGGGATATGATTGTAAATATCAGTATTATTAGTCGGTTAGAGTAGCAGTTAGCATTTATGTGTATAAATACCGGTATATACAGTTATACAGAACAGACATATTGATTATCTCTAATATAAAGCTTCCACAGCAAGAACCCTAAAACTCTTCCTCAATTTATGTCTTTAATTCTCAAGTTTGTTTGGATTTTGATTCTTGATGGTAACAGAGCAGGCGCGTCCTGTTCTGTATCAATCAGAATTTTAGGTTTGATTCAAGTAATTGATTAAGAAATTTTTGAAATCGAAGAAAAATTGAAAGAACGAAGAAAATGGCTGAGAATCGAAGAAACAGAGATCGCCGTCATGAAGATCGGGATCAAGAGCAAGATGAAGAAGAATACCGACGTACATATACAGATACTGTGAATTATGGAGGATATGTCCATCCGTTGATGTTGTTTCCATTAGATACGTCGACGATGTCTCTAGTCACAACGCCTCTTACCGATGATAACTACGTCTCCTGGAGTTATGCCATTAAGCGAACGCTTGGTACCAAGAACAAGCTTGGTTTTGTCATCGGAGCTGTGCCGAAACCTCATCATCGATCGCCGGAGTATGAAAAAAGGGAACGAGTTAATGACTTGGTGGTGGCTTGGATCTTGAATTCTCTGTCACCTGGTATTGTCGAGAATTACAATTTTGCTAAGACAAAAAAAAAAAAAGAATTATGGGAGGAATTAAAGGAAGGATATGACATAGGAAATGGTCCGGCCATATGCAAATTAAGGCGAGAGATTTGCACAATCAAGCAAGGAAATCAGGCCTTGGCAACATATTATGTAAAGTTGAAGCATCTGTAGGACGAATTGAATCATTTGGATCCACCTGATGATTGCACTTGTGGAGGTTGTACATGTGGAGGGTGTACCTGCCATGGAAACATACAGGGAGGAATAAAGGAACAAAGGATCAATGTTGAAAAGCAACAACAAGTCAATTTGATATGTGGAGATGTCAGTAACAATAGTGCAATGATTGCATAAAGGAAAGGCTCCTCTTAATGCTTCTTATGGCACATGGAAGTCATGTAACCAGCAGAACTCAGGAACAAATGGTTACAAGGTTAACACTGGGGACAACAGTGGACAACAAGGCTATAGTTCTGGTGGAAATCACAATATGGGACATGTTGGCTATCAGGGTAGTCAGAATTATGGGAATCAGAATTTTGGGAAAGGCAATGACTATAGAATGGAAAGTCTGCAAAGAAGTTGTTGTTCTGTGATTATTGTAAGGTGAATGGTCATTCAAGGGAAATCTATTTCAAGCTACATGGGTATCCAGACTGGTGGCCAGGTAATGAAGGAGGATCAGGAGATGTCAAGCAACAAAACACAAACAAAAATGCTGCACATATTGCTGAGACACCTTTTGATTCCAGTAGTAACCACAAGGATAAAGAGTTGAAGTCTGTACTTACCAATCTGCACACATTAACAGGAGGTAACAAGATTGACCAAAGGGAAAATGACCAGCAATGAGATAGAACAAATCAACTTTGCACACTTCTCAGACTTTGCAGGTACGAGTACATTCAATAAGTTGAGCACTGTTGAAAAAATTGCTTTGGTTTTATGGATTTTAGACAGTGGTGCAACCAGCCATATGACTTCCAATCTTTCCTTGTTTAAACACCACAAATCAGTATCTTGTATCATGCCTGTCTGCTTACCTGATGGTAGTATCCAACAAGTACAAAATATAGGATCGGTAGAGCTTTCCAAAACCTAAGCTTTACCTGATTGCTTGCATATTCCCACCTTCAGCTATAACTTGCTATCAATCAATAAACTAGCAGTGTCCTCTAGTATTGACTGCTTCTTTTCCACCACCTTCTGCCTTTTGTAGGATTGGGTGACTAACCAACTTGTGGCAGTTGGAAAGGTCATCAACCGGCTATATGTCCTGGACCAATCTTCTTTCGATAAAGAAACCATCATGCAGCTCATTTCAACACATGTCAATCATCCTTTCATCATGTAACCAAATAGCCATCAACTTGTCAATTCCAGCTTTATTTCAAGAGATCTCAGTGAATTGTGGCATATGAAATTAGGACACACTTCTAATTCAGTTGCAAAACATTTTGGTTTTCCAAAGATATGTAATAAGGAAGGTATGCATGTGATGTATGTCCCCTTTCAAAACAATCCAGATTACAGTTTCCTATAAGCAGTATACAATCTACTTCTGTTTTTCAATTGATTCATGTAGACAAATGGGCTCCTTATCATAAAAAATCATTAAGTGGTGGATAGTTTTTCTTGACCTTTGTAGATGATTTCAGTAGAACTACATGGACTTATCTCATACAGTTCAAGTTACAAACTTTCAATTTCTTACGAACCTTTTTCAATATGGTGAAAACTCAATATTCCAAACAAATTCTAAAGCTTAGATTAGACAATGGAAGAGTTCCTGAGTTATAACTGTCAAACTTTGTTCCAGGATCTAGGCATTGTACATCAAAGTCCAGTCCATACACACCCCAATAGAATGGGGTAGTGGAAAGGAAGCATAAGCACCTTTTACAAGTAGCAAAGGCCTTACTTCTTCAATCCAATTTGCCTAAGTATTTTTGGGGAGAACCCATTTTGATAGCCACCTATATCATAAACAAAACACCCTTTTCAGTGTTAAACTTCAAAACACCTTATGAGGTGTTCTACAACAAACAGCCAGATTTCCATAACCTCAAAGTTTTTGGCAGTTTGTGCCATGCCACTAACATACTGCCTTGTAAAGACAAATTCAGCAATAGAGCCATTAAATTAGTGTTTCTTGGTTATCCTCCTGGTCAGAAAGCCTTCAAATTATATGATTTGGCAGCCAAAAAGAAATTCATATCTAGAGATGTGGTGTTTCATGAAAGAGTCTTCCCTTTTAAGCAATCATGTTCTGAAGAGGAACCACTTTCCTCTTCCCCACATTCAGAATGTATACTAGACCAACCTGATTCTTGGCCAGTCCTTACAAACTCAGGAAATTCATTTACTCTTCCTTCACCTGACAGACAAGCTACTCCACCTTCACATGATCACCACACAGAATCTCCACTTAGTCCTGCTGATCAACCAGTCATTTCACAACCCTTGAGGAGAAGTTCTAGAAACAGCAAGCCATCTGGATGGCTGAAAGACTTTGATGCTTACAGGACTCAAACAGCTTTGTCTTCTTCTAGTTCTATCATTATGCCACAATCTTCACCTTACACACCTTTTGCCTATCCATTTTATATACCTTCTAACTTCTCCAATGATCACTTAGCTTTTCTCACCACTGTTGACAAAATTCAAAAACCAAGTAGTTATGCTCAAGCTAATACTCAACCTGTTTGGGTGGAAGTAATGCAAACTGAGCTTGATGCTTTAGAGGCAAATCAGATATAGGAACTGACTGACCTACCACCTTGCAAGAAAGCCATAGATTGCAAATGGGTGTACAAGAATAAATTGCACTCTGATGGATCCATAGATAGATTCAAGGCCAGATTGGTGACAAAGGGGCACAACCAATTAGAAGGAGAAGATTTTTTTGATAGTTATGCACCTGTGGCTAAGGTGGTAACAGTATGTTTACTCTTGGCACTTGCAGCAGCTCAACATTGGTCCGTGCATCAGCTGGACATAAACAATGCATTTTTGCATGGCTATTTAGATGAAGAGGTGTTTATGATGGATACAATAAAGCAAGATGTGATCAAGTTTGTAAACTTAAACGTTCCTTATATGGCTTAAAGCACGCTTTAAAGCAATGGAATGAAGAATTTACCAAGAAGACACAGCAGTATGGTTTCTTACAGTCTCAAAATGATCATTGCCTATTCACTAAGATTCATGATGACTGTTACTTAGCTTTGGTGGTATATGTGGATGACATGCTCATCATAGGTTCCTTACAATCAGATATTGTTAAGGTAAAGGATTTCTTACATGATCAGTTCACTATAAAAGATTTGGTATATGCAAAATAATTTCTTGGGATTGAAATAGAAAGATCTGTTGATGGAATGTATTTGAGTCAGAGGAAATATGTTCTAGACATTCTTAAAGCCACAGGATTACTTGGATGCAAGTCCACCAATACTCCATTGCCAAAGGGACATCAATTTTCTGATAAACCGTGGTTGCCATTAGAGAATGCTTCTCAGTATAGAAAACTTATAGGCCAACTCCTATATTTGGGTTTTACAAGACCTGATATTTTTTTCTCAGTTCAGCAGTTTAGTAGGTTTTTTCAGAATCCCTGTTCTGATCATTGGGATGGACTCATCCATGTTTTGAAATATTTGAAAGGAACAATATCACAGGGAATCTTTTATTCCAGTGAGAGTGACTTCAAGTTATCAGCTTACAGTGATGCTGATTATGCCAATGAACCTTCCAACAGAAAGTCTGTGATAGGATTTGGTATCTTCTTGGTGCCTTCACTCATCTCCTGGAAGGCAAAACAACAACCTTACAGTCTCTTGCTCTTCCTCAGAGGCTAAGTACAGAAGCATGAGCTACACAGCAAGAGAGTTGATGTGGATCTCCTATCTCATGATTGATCTTCATCTGTCTTTGAATCTTCCTGTTCCACTTTGGTGCGACAATCAGTCAGTTTTAAATATAACTAAGAATCCCGTCTTTCATGAATGCACCAAACATCTGGAAGTGAACTGTCACTTTGTCTGAGATTAATTCAAACGTGGATTCCTTGTCCCTTTGCATATCAGTACACATGATCAAGTTGCTGATTTGCTTACTAAATGTTTGGCTCATCCTCATATGGTTCGTTTATTGTCCAAGCTTGGCCTGAAAGTTCCCTTTCCTGGTTTAGCTTGTGGGGGAAATGTAGAGTTTGATGATGAGCCGATCATCGAAGAATTGCAGCCTGATTAGTGTAAGTTTGTACAGAAAGAAGACTTGTGAATATTAGGGTCAATTTGGTCAGAATTGTAAATATAGGGACATGGTTATAAATATCTTTATTGTTGGTTACAGTAGCAGTTAGCATTTATGTGTATAAATACCGGTATATAAAGTTGTACAGACATATTGATTATCCCCAAATTAATACAAAGCTTTCGCAGCAAGAACCCTAAAACTCTTCCTCATACGTCTTTAATTCTCAAGTTTGTTTGGATTCTTATTCTTGAATTATCTTATTGGTCATATGTGTAAGACAAGAACCCTAGCAGTCAGTGCATTATCAGAACAGATAGTGCATTCAAGGATTCCAAAAGCAAGGCGCGGCAGCCTGCGAACTCATTAATAGTGATGGTAGCTTGATTGCATCAGGCGCTGAGAGTTTTCATGCTCTTATTGTTCTACAGTCGGAGGCGTTAGCTTGTTTGAGAGGTATACAGGAAGGACATAGGAGACAGCTTCACAATGACCTACTTCAGACAGACTGCTCTAGCTTAGTAGAGATGCATTATCATAGAATGCTAGTGCATGTTCTTATAGGTGACCTTTTGCAAGACACTAGGGATGTAATTAGACAGTTAGGTAGTTTTCAGTTAATTAAAGTTTCGAGAGAGGTAGTAAAAAAATATGAATAGGCGAGCTAGGATCTGTTTATCTTTATGTATTCATGTGTAATTCATATAATATAATGACTTATTTCCAAAAAAAAAAAAAGAAGGGAATCTATTTCGACCAAAAAAAAAAACTGTGGAATATATGAAATGAGAAAAATAATAGTCATTCAACATTCAACAAGACCCGTTAATATGTGTACTAGCTCGAAGTAAAAGTTGATGTCATCTTCCTGACATCACAAAAGGAAAATCACATTTGCCTGTAAAATCAGATTAAATATCCGGTGGTGGGTTTGAAGATTGGACTGTTGACGCTGGTGGAAGAAAATTGTGGAGTCGAATGAGTAACTTAGCCGAAAGAAATCCTGGTCATTGGGCAAAAAGGAGCCTCAAAACTTTTAGGCCCAACAAGGTAGATTAACCAATGAATTTCCTGGATCGCTTGCCTGTGGTCCCGTGGGACAAAAGCTAAGGGACCATTGGGCCCAATGATGCTGTCCTAAACCCCCTCAATCAGGAGACAATGGAAGTATCTTTTAGACATGAGTTGTCTCCATTTTTGGGGATTGGTAAACAAAGTTTTGGTACATAATCAATTCCATTCAATTGGATAAATCATAAACGCAGGTTTGATCAAATGATGCAGTGATTTTTTTATATGAATTAAAATGGTCCTAATTGCCACCAAAACGAAAGCAACGTTGAACTCATCATTGCATCTTCTAGGAATAGCCTAGACAACCCAATATGCCATCACTTGAGTTAACTTGGCCACCCTCCTCCTTTTTTTCTGTTGTTTGATATATATAGTATTCTAGTTCTTCTTTTGCTTTTCTTGTCAAAGCATAGTTGGAAGTTGTGTTGTTTAGGTCTAAAGCACCAAAAAGCAAATGGACAAAGAAGCTAATGGAATCTAATTACATTAGCTATTTTAGACCGTGGCAAGCAACAGTAAATGCCATTCTTTATTCTGTTATCCACATATGGCATTGTAGGAACAGGTTACATGATACAAGTTTTAACCTTTTTGTGGTGTTCTATAGTATCTAGAGTGAAATGTTTATTGAGTATTGACATTTCATCACTTCTAGACATATATGATCCTTTTGTTTAGTAGAGAAATATCACTATCCATTACATCTATATATCATTTTTCCCCGCTACAGCAAACTAGGTTACAAGTACCTAATATATTCAATACACTTCGCTACGGAGATAAACCGACATGTTGTAAGTTAAAAGCTTAAGAGTAGTAAAATAAGTAACATCGATCAATACGTGATCAATGTGACATTTTATATAATCTCTTAAAATACAGACATCCTAGACATCTCAATCAAGATTAGTACAGAGGTTAAAATGAATAGATAGTAAATCACAGAGATCATGCTTTATCACTTAGTGGTCCAAAAACATATTCTCTAGTTAATTGGATATTGCTCCCCCACGCTTCCAAAATCATTCACAATCATATTAGTTTAATTAAGGTCTAAGTTGGCAGGTGCTGAAATACATGATAAAGACCACCAAAGCCTAGTACAAAATGCTCCCCAACAAAGGGGTCCATCTCATGTTACATGATCCACTTTTCAAGTTTCAACAAAAAAATAAAATAACTAAACTAAACCCCTATTGCCTTTTGTTCATGTCACCCTTTTACTTTACTTCTGTATAAATCATTCTCAGCTCACTTCACTGTACATCCAACCAACTTGAATTGGATCATCTACTAATCAAAAACCAGAATTGGATAAAAATCCCATGGAGAATCACATCAGAAAGGGCAGTGATTCTGGTGACAAATTCTCCTTTCCAATCAGCCCTCCAAATCAAGATGATCAATTTGAATTTGGGTGCATCACAACACCAGGCTCACCAAAATCCCCTGCAGATCATCTGTTTCTCAATGGTAAACTTCTGCCTCATTTTTTCCCAAGCCAACCTATAAACTACAACATTATAAGCACTCTATCGAGATCGACGAGCCGAACCAGTAGCGTATGCAGCAGAGACTCACTCCTTTCATCTAGAAGTAACAGTTATAACAGCAGCAGAAGCAGCAGTTGCAGCAGTGCAAGAACCAGTATAAGTGAACAGAGCAACATTAGGTCGTTTTCGCCGTCTGTCGACAGGAAGTTACTGATAAATCATCATCAGAAGGCAAAGTTGGCTGCCATAAACAAAAACCCTGTTGGAAAAAACAACAAGCCGCCTGTTTTGAATCCACATTACTATGGATCATCTCAGAGGTGGCAATTCATCGCGCCGGCGCCGGCTTCTTTGAAACAACAACAACAACAACAAAAACAACGCCAGAGTTCGGTCTCATCACGTGCAAGAAACAAGTCTAATCGAAGTTTGGCAAGAGATAATAAAGAGTTGAAGACAAAGAGGAAAGAAAGTAAAGATACTAGGAAGGCAAGAACATGGTTTGGCATCAGAATTATCAGAGCATTGGTGTATGCATGCAAAGAATGTCATGCCATAGAACCTTCTTCAAGAAAGCGTCTGGACAAGAATTAGGAACACCATAAATTCTGGGAACTTTTGATTCAACGTTCTGTTTTTCTTTAGTTCTGGTAACATTTCCCCTGTTTTCTTTTTTTTGGCAACTTTGACTGGATATTACTGGTTGTAGAGTTGAAATATTGTCTCCGAGGAAAGGATTATATCATCATTTGTAATTTGTAAAAACATTATAAAATTGCTGCGGATTGGCTTGTGATTTGCTTATTATTGATAGTGTGATGAAGCTTTATTGAAAAGAAAAGCAAGTTTGATTATGAATCAAGTTTGAACAAGTAGGTAGGCAGTACATCATGAAGATACGACACAAATGACAAATCTACCTCAGAAAATGTTTGTTTATTTTGTGAAATACATAAACACGTTACGCGTTATAGCGAAATTCACAAAGATGTTACAAGCAATGACTAAAAATTAAACAGTGTTCTGTTTTGTGTCGTGGGCATAATACATGTCAACATCCACAATTAAATCGGCATATTTTGATAACCATTATGATAAACATATGATAACTACTAATTTGTTGTGTATTAAAAAAAAATTGAATTCTAGAAGTGTCACACTCAAAAGACTAACTTCATCATAAGCCTAAAGATTGCGGTGAAAATTGTCCATCAATAATGCCATATTGGCATAGTGCACTGACCTTGCTATAGGCCCCTCACTTCACTTTGGTCTAACGCACAAAACTTGGGATCGAATTGAGTTGGCTAATTCTGGAAGTCCATTTTTAGATGAAGTTGCAGCTCAGCTTCACAAATTTTTGATAAAATTTTAATCATTAGGTTCTTGATCTTGAACAGTCTCAGGTTCTATAGGCTTTCACGCATTTTTTCTGATGGAAAGTTGCTAAAAAGTTGTTCACCATGGTTTCATCATCAGCATTTTGGGTCGTTAAAGAGTTGAACATTTCACTAAAATGAAAATGAAAGTCTAAACAAACAAAAGAAAAATGCCCATTTGATGGAAAGAACATACTATCAGTCTAAAGCAGAACAATAAATACTAAGGGAAAGAGGGGGGGGCCAAAAAATAAAAGAAGCATAAGCTAAAGGGGCTTTCCTAAATACAACTCTCTGCACCCTTAATCCCCCCTGGCTTACAAACTCATTCCAAATAAGTTTCCATAACATCATGAGAGTACATTCCTGCTTCATTCCTGTATTCTCCTGCAGGATTGTGCTGATGGTGATGATCAAGCGAGGTGGAAGACGAAGACGAAGTCATTCTCGCTGGCAATGTAAAGCTCCTCTTGAACTTATTCTCCATTTTCCGGACACTATCTTGATGGCTATCCAAGCTTAAGAAGTCGTTGGGATTTGCGCTGCCGTTGTTATGCAAACTTGACGCATCTGAATTTGGATTTCCATGGTCCGGCTTGGCACCCAAACCATCAGGATTGAACAAGAGCTTAGCATCATCGCTCCGTCCAGTCAGAGCACTGAAGAAGGTCAATCCATTAGGCCACTTGATATCGTTTTCGTGATCTCCCATCATGTCCTCCATTCGTGGTTCGGATGAATGAGGCAAAAGGAACATATGAGGCTCGTCTTTGGATGGTGGAATGCCGAGCCTAGCTGAATTTTGAAAGTTGGGAGATGCAAGAACTGCATTGGCTGTAGGCATTGGCCTTGGACCCCAATTATATAGAGGAGGTGGAGGACGAATTGGAATGCCAGGCTGCTTCATAGGAACTCCTGCTGCTGCAGGAGATGAAGCATTCCTTGTTGAGGAAAATAACTGCGATAGGTAAAAGCCAGATTGGTAGCCCAAAGATTCAAATGTGTGTCTCATTCTTAGCACAAAGTGGAGATCTTCAGGTATCTGAGAAGTAGGTAACAAAAATTCATCCATAGTTACGTTTCGGTTTACTTAGCTGATTAATCTAAATACTCAAATTAAATGAAAGGATTAATGACAATTCAATAAAACTCACAATCTTGCAAGAACCAAGTTGCAGAAGGCCATGGCCAGCTTGAATCACGGCAATTGTCTGAGGAAACCAAACCACGGAATAATTTAGCCAAATAATATTACAAGTTTTCAGCAAAAACAGAAGTCAGAACATGAAGAGCTTCATTTCTCACCTGAATACCCGAATCAAACTGATCTGTCCATTCAGGAGGAAGCTGCAATTAATGAAACCAAAAGACAAACACAATTCGTCAATCAAGATAATGGCTTTCCAGATTAACAGTAGAGAAATGTCAACCACTCGACAACAAATTGACAGTTTCCACAACAGATATGACAGACATAACTGACTGTTACTTGAACATATTACTGTTTAACAGAGAGAATGAGCAGAAGTGTCTTTATTTGGATGTATACACATACAGCATCAAATGAACTCTGCCAGTAATTGGAGATATTTGGTTCACATTCTGTAGGCTCCTTGAAGACCCATTTATGGCACTTATCAGAAGCCACCTTCCCCATCAACCTGCAAATCAAATCATCCAATCAGAATCCATTCTTACAGATATAGTAGCAGAGCAGTAAAATCTAGTTTTGGCTTCATTTTCAGTGCAAAAATTCCTGACTGACCCCCCTCACTAGACCACTCCAGCCTGTTGGAGAAAGTGAGTTGTGTGAGTGGGACAAAATTAAAATCCAACACAAAAGCACCTACCAAGTACCCACCCTTCTCCATAATTATATAACTGAATAGACATTTTGCTGAAGGCTTTCCTGACAGGATCTTCTCCATCAATTTCATCCAAACACTCCCCAACTCTTCCTCTGCAGAACCCATCTTCCCACATCAACATCCTGCATCACACAAAAAAGCAACAAAGCAAAACCAGTACCACAAAAAAATTAGTGAAGTGCTTAATTAGCAGTACTAAAAACTAAACCATAAAACAAACAACTTGATACTAATTTTTCAATAATGCAGTGCAGCTGATGCTGCTCATCTTGAACCCCACCAAAAAATGAAAATAAAATTAAAGAAACAGAGAAAGAAAAGGGAGAGATTAAAAATGAAATCTTTAGCACTCACAAGCTACCATTGTCATCACCAACTTTGCATCCATTGCCACCTCTGACTCTCCTGCAGGAAATGGAACAAAAAAAAACCCCAAATGAAGGATTAGTTCAAAAAACTCAAGAAATCGACATATATGCTTCAAATGATTCAACATACGACGTGGGCTTAATCAAAGAAAGACAAAGAAATAACAGAGTTGACACTCAAAGAGGAAGAAAATGATTGAAAAGTAGGGGCAATACGGGCGAGGACGAATGGTCCAGAAGACTGAATAAGTCCAGTCTGTGTTGAGACAGACGCTTCTAAGGGCCTCATGAAGGGCCATCATCCCAACTGCTTCTTTGCTCCTATCTGATGCTCCTGAGCCCACCATCTCTCTTTCTTTGTCTCTCCCCCACTCTCTCTTCCTTTTTTTCCCCCTTATAAGTTTCTTTAGGACTTCTTCTTTTCTAATTTTCCCTCTCTTTCTGAGATGAACAAATTAAAATGAAAGCCCTTTTTTGCTTTGACAAATGAAACTACCAATGGAGGGGAGGGTAAACCAGCAAAACAGCAAAAAAAAAATTATCTATCCGGGTTGTTTCAGAAGCAACAGCAGCAACAACTTTGCAAATCCTTATGAACCACAAAGTAAAGAAAGAGTCTTTCTTTCTTCAATCTTCATCCCCACTTCTCCACAAACACACACACTCACCCCCACAGGTAAACAAACTAGTGGGCTTTTACTATCTACTTTTTTTCTCTCTTTATCTGTCCCTCATTTCTTTTACTTTTTTCACCATCTTTTCTTCCTCTTATCAGAGATTTATTTTACCAAAACCTCTGATTTCATTACCTGGGGGAAACAAAAAGAGAATAATTGACACAGCAAAAGTAAGTAAAAGGAGGAAAGGGGGGCGTGAAAGTGTGTGTGAGTGTGTGTGTGTGTGTATGGGTGACTGTGCGTGAGTGTACGTGTACCACTGTGTATTTGAAGACGATGGTTTACTAAGGTTTTGTTTGTTTGTGAGCAATTTTTTTTTTTTTAACCATGAGGTATTTTGTGGGGGCAGCTTTTTTATCCCTTTCCCAAACAATGGAGTGATTGACACACAGTCACCCAGTGACCGATTCAGGCAAAAAAATAATAGTAATAGTACTAGGAGAATTACGGTGCTTTGTAGTTATGGCTTCCTTTTTTACTTGTTTACCCCGACCGTCAATAAAGTCAAGACTTCAGGCAAAACATATTACTAGTAATTTACTTTCTACTGTTTTCCTTCGTAGCTAAACAATGTATTAGTTTACAGTTTCAATTATAAAATTTTACAACGATTTAACAAAACCATCAACTTGCTCTTTGAAAATGTCAATAACTTGTATAATGTGAAATGACTATTTTTTTTTAATTTTATTGTTTGACATTGAATCTGTTATGATAACAAAGTAGTAATATATTTTAGCTCTTGCTATCTCAAAATAATTTTTATGTTTATCAATACTAAGAAAAAGTACAAAAAAAGTAAACAGTTGTTTTGGCATAGATTGAGTATTGAAACATTGCCAAAATATGCCATCAAATCACGTTACATTTTTGTATCATTTTGATCTAGTAACCCTTTTTGCTCTATTTTATCTTGATTCATTGAGAAAATTCACTTGAGTGTGGCTTCTTAATGTCTCATGTGTCCTATACTGTGGGGGAAAAAAAGTGTCTCACATTTTTCAGTTATTTTTGAAAAAAAAAAAAAAAAAGAATGAAACCTTCAACCAAGAGAATATGAAAACAACAATGTGGGTTGCAGTTACTACAAAATCCCAAAATGTCAAATGCATTATTTGAAATAAAATGACTTCTCATCCATCTTTTTGTTTTATTTGTACAAGCAATAAACAAGACAACATGGCTTAAACGTAGTTAACTTACAAAACCACTTTCCGAGAAATGGATAAGCTTATATAACTCATTAGGACCCAAACCGCAACCTTATTCAAAGTTGAAACCTTGATCTCAAGGTGACTTCGGCCTCTCCATTCAGTTAATTACTTGCCACATCTCAAAATAATTATACTGCTTGTTAATTATTATATTTTAAAAAATGTAAGAAGTATATGTTAAAAAATCGATAAAATTTTTTCATTTCATAAAAATAATTATAAAATGATTGAATCCAACTGAGAGATTTGTTCTATGTTCATGTTACCTTTATATATATACATATAAAAAAAATTGTGCGAACGGCCTCCAAAGATTAAAAAATAAAATAAAAATTAGCATTAAAAACCATCAAATGTTGTGATAGGATCGATGCCCAACTCAGGGTGACACATTTTGGGGAAAAGAATTTCGAAGGAATTTACTCGAAATAACTTGCTTCCGCAATCAAACTTAGTGTTGACATTGACTAAATTAGATTTTTGACAAAGAAAATGAGATTTTTAAGATGTGTACATTTTGTTTAGTACTTCGAATATTGGCATCGAATGCTTCTGTAAATGTGGTCAAAGTTTCTACTTTTCATTTCAATACCAAATTAATCAAATACTAGCGCAAATCGAGTTCTTGCTAAAGAAGAAACCCTACATCGGTCCCAATTATTCTGTTTATTGTATTATTTTAATACGAAAGATAGGACAATTATTTTTAGACAGATAAATATGGCGTTAAGGTAGAAAAAATTGAACTCGAGAAATATGTATATTCGTGGTCCAAATGAGTAGTTGAGCTTGGAATACGTATATTAACTATATCATGTACTATACGGAATAATTTAAGCTATAAAGCTTCCGATCAATGGAGATACACACGTATGGGTGAGGATTTAAGAATTCCTGAACGACCTTGTGACGTACACCAGATTTCTAAATCGGTCCACTTGCCCTGTTTTAATTATAGGGGAAAAATAAACGAGAGCTTTCTTCTTCTTTTTTTTTTTTTTTGATCAAACAAGAGCTTTCTTCTTTCTTGTGCCTAAAACCCGAGAGGTGAAATTCATTTCACGAACCCTCAAAGGTGCAAGAAAGTTTCCGAGGAAGTTGAAGCTTTTCCTATTCGCTTCCCAATCAAGGATAAGATAAATGTTTACCTTCCTCATATCATGATCACGTACGACATTAGTTAATGTGGCATACAATATTGTGCACTTAGTAATTAGTATGATGTTGATAATAGTTCACAAGAGATTATTTTGTTACTACTAGCTGTAAGCTTTAGCGAATAGGATCTTAGTCATAATCTGAAAACACCTATATATGAGAGCATGATAGTATACATACCTTGAGTCATAGCCGTCGAATTCGAGTAAACTGATTTCAGCTGCACCCTGATCTTCTCTCTCCTAACTCTTTCAGTAAAATATGTTTTGATGGGTAAACAAACCAACGTAGAGTGGAGAGAGGGACTTAGAGAGTCACCGTATATATAGAACTATAATAACCCCTTTCCATCATGAGTTACCTCTCCCAATAAACTTCCTCTAATAATTATCTCATCTAATTATCACTTAATAATTATCTAATATAAATAAATCTTTATCAAATAATATCTTATAAGGTTTAGAAATTATATTGAGGTCATGTAGACCACTAAATGAAGGACTTTTAACATTCTCCCATTTGGACAAATGACCGATTATAATCAGATAAATATTCAGTAAAGTGGCCACAAAATTATTGTATTTACCCCACACTGTCAACAAAATGAATCATGGCGCTTATATGTGATCATACACATTCCCTTCCATGTATTACAATTTTAATGACTAAATGCAGATAAATTTATGAGGAAGAAATGAACCATAACAAAATGTTCATTAAAATGGTCCAAATACTAAATCTTGTTTTATTATTCAAAACAGTAATGTGCACTAAAAACAAGAAATAATATTCCATTTGTCCAAACAAAAATAGACAATCATTCAAACTTTCCTAGACCCATAGAACGAACATGTTCCAAAAACCTCTTCGGCTCCAATCTTTATGTTTGTTTCGTTTTTTTAGTATGTGTTTTTAGGTGTTTTTTGTATTGAAAATGTAAAAAGGTATGTTGGGATAGGACAGTTATTAATATTTTAATTTAAAAATACCATCAAAAAAATGAAACAAACAAGCGAAGCAAGCATCAATTCACTCCGTATATGCTCTATTGACACTTTTTGCTCTTGAATTCTTTCTCGAACAACAAGGTATTTCAACTCAATATGCTTCAACTTATTCAAGCTCTTGTTGTTATTTGAGAAGTATACAGCAGTGGAATTATCACAATACATAGCTATTGGTTTAGAAATGGAGTCCATGATCTTAAGACCTCCAATGAAATTTCTCAACCAAATAGCCTATGAAGTAGCTTCATGGCATGCTACAAATTCTGCCTCCGTAGTAGAAGAAGTAGTGGTATCTTGCTTAATGTTTCTTTAAGATGTAGCTCCTCCAGCAAGCATAAAAATATAACCAGAAGATGATCTCAAACTTTTCTCACAACCCATAAAATCAGAATCAGATTATCCAATAATCTCAAGGTGATCACTAAGCTTGTAGGTAAGCATCCAATCTTTAGTACCTTGAAGGTAAGGCATTACCTTCTTTGCCGCTTTCCAGTGATCTATTCTTGGGTTGCTTTGAGCTCTACCAAGCATCCTAACTGCAAAACTGATATCAGGACGGGTGCAAGTTTGAGCATACATTAAGCTTCCAACAGCTGAGGCATATGGTACATCCTTCATTTGTTGTCTCTCTAAATCATTCTGATGACATAAATCAGGACCGACTTCATCACCTTTCACAATGGGGCATGGACTGGGAGCACAACTTTGCATTTGAAATCTTTCAAGAACTTTGTTGATGTAATTTTTCTGAGAAAGGTTGAGAGTTTTCTTAATTCGATCTCTATGAATCTCTATTCCAAGTACAAAAGATGCATCATTCATATCTTTCATTTCAAAGTTCTTAGAAAGAAAACTCTTAGTGTCATGCAATAGGCTGAGATCATTGGTTGCAAGCAATATGTCATCAACATATAAAATCAAAAATATAAACCGACTCCCACTAACCTTTAGGTATACACAATCATCAAGTTTATTTTCTTGAAACCCAAAGGTTTTTATGGTATTGTGAAACTTAATATACCATTAGCGAGAAGCCTGTTTAAGTCCATAAATTGATCTTTTGAGCTTGCACACCAAGTGCTCCTTTCCTTTTTCCTTAAATCCTCCAGGTTGATTCATGTAAATCTCCTCATCTAGATTATCATTCAAGAAAGCCGTTTTTACATCCATCTGATGTAGCTCTAAATCATAATGAGCTACAAAAGCCATAATGATCCGAAAGGAATCTTTCTTTGATACAGGTGAGAAAGTCTCATTGTAATCGATACCCTCCTTTTGAGTGAATCTCTTAGCAATCAGACGGGCCTTATAACGGTCAATATTACCTTTGGAGTCCCTTTTAGTTTTGAAAACCCATTTACATTGAATAGGTTTAAACCCCTTAGGCAATTCAACCAGTTCCCGTACTTGATTGCTCCTCATAGATGCTAACTCTTCATTCATAGCATTCATCCATTTATCAAATTCACCACTATTTATGAATTGTTAAAACATCAATGGATCATCCACAACGCCAGATTCACTAATTTCTTGTAGATACACCACATAATCATCTGAAATTGCACTTGTTCTAGGCCTTTTAGACCTTCGTACATTATCTAGATCATTTCCATCATGTGTATTAATGGGAGGAGCATTTGAATCGTGGCTAGTAGTAGAATCAACATTAGTTAATTCTTCTGATTGTGGAATTAGTCCCACTTCTCTTTTGCTATGATTCCCACTAAAATTTTCATTTTCAAGAAATTTAGCATTATTAGTTTCCATAATTCTGTTATAATGATTAGGACAGTAGAACCGATATCCTTTTGATCTCTTTGGATATCTAATGAAGAAACAACTAATGGTTCTTGGATCTAACTTCTTTTCGTGTGGATTGTAAAGTCTTGCTTCCGCAAGACAACCCCAAACATGTACATGATTCAAATTTGGTTTCCTACCAACCCAAAATTCATAAGGGGTTTTAGCAACAACTTTAGTAGGAACTCGGTTTAAAATATACATAGTTGTCCTGATGGCTTCACCCCACAAGAATTCAGGAAGTGTACTATCACTAATTCGAATCATATTCAATAATGTTTGATTAC